AATAAGAAATATACATATGTCCATATACAAAATTACATAAATAATTATATAAATATACACGTAGACTTCAAATATATAAATATGCATATATATTTAAATTCTACATGCGTATTTATGTAATATTTTTACATAATTCAGTAATTTTATTGATTGCAATTTGAGGGACTTGCCTTCCAACCCAGGCCGAAATTCCAGAGAATTTAATTTGCTAGCACTGTATTTTACCCTGTAACGTTCTACGACACCCTAAAACCTGTACATGGGGGGTACTGTTTTACTCGGGAGACTTCGCTGAACACAAATATTAGTGATTCACAACAGTAAGACATATCACAGCGATGATATTGTCAGTGAAAGTTACTTTTTTTGCATTTTTCACACACAAACAGCACTTTTACTGATGATATAATTGTTGTGATACGTTTTCCAGTTTTTAAACACTATATTTGTGTTCAGCGATGTCTCCCGAGTAAAACAGTACCCCCCATGTACAGGTTTTATAGCATTTTTGAAAGTTACAAGGTCAAATATATGGGTCAAATATTTTTACATTGAAAATGGCCAGGTTGGTTACGTTGCCTTTGAGAGCATATGGTAGCCCAGGAATGAGAATTACCCCCATGATGGCATACCATTTGCAAAGAAGACAACCCAAGGTATTGCAAATGGGGTATGTCCAGTCTTTTTTAGTAACCACTTGGTCACAAACACTGGCCAAAATTAGCGTTCAATTTAGTTTTTTTACTTTTTCACACACAAACAAATATGAATGCTTACTTTGGCCAGTGTTTTCGACTAAGTGGCTACTAAAAAAGACTGGACATACCCCATATTGAATACCCTGGGTTGTCTACTTTAAAAAAAATATGTACATGTGGGGTGTTATTCAGAGATTTATGACAAATAATAGTGTTACAATGTCACTATTGATAAATTTTAAAAATGTATGTTTTGAAACCGCAATATCCTACTTGTACCTATAGCCCTATAGCATGCAAAAAAAAGCACGTAAACACTAGGTATTTTTAAACTCAGGACAAAATTTTGAATCTATTTAGCAGTTTTTTTCATTCGCTTTTGTAGATGAGTAAAAGATTTTTCAAGTAAAAGTCAAAAAACATGTATTTTTTTCAATTTTTCATCAGATTTTTGTATTTTTTTAAAATTAAAATACATGAGATTATATAAATAATGGTATGTAAAGAAAGCCCATTTTGTCCTGAAAAAACAATATATAATTTGTATGGGAACAGTAAATGAGAAAGCGGAAAATTACAGCCAAACACAAACACCACAAAAGTGTAAAAATATTCCTGGTCGCAAATGTACAACATCGCAAAAACAGTCCAGTCCTTAAGGGGTTAAAACATGTTGTTCATGAACTATTCACTGGAGTAATAAAACATGATTATTACCAACCCAATTGTAATGTCGGGGTCACTGTTTAGTAGATGAAGCCTACAATGCAGAGGAGCGCTGAAAGTAGATGGCCCAGGTTCGCAGTACAAAAAGGGTCAAACGAAGAGAGTAGTCGAGGACGCAAAAGGTCTCATTGATTGGTTACAGTGCCTGAAATCCCCTACTAGTGTCTCTATATTCAGTGTTAAATATTTTTCGACCTGTTTAAAGTCTGGCACCACTGGAGGCATAGAAAAAGCAGAGATGACATATTTCCTTAGTCACACCAATTCATATCTGCTGTGGTAGGCTGAAAGCAGTCAGCTGGGGGCATATTGGAGGAAGGGAGGGGTACGTTTCTTTGCAAGACAGTTTTGTGAATGGGGAGTTACTAATTGGCTGAGAGCATCAGCTGACCTTTCTCAGTCAATATGCAGCGCCCCTGCATGACGGCTGTCCGTGTCCTAATAGTGAATTTTCTAAAGCCGCAGTGGGGGGAGCTGTGATCGGTGCTGGAGGCAACTTTGTGTTTAAACTGTTTAACCCCCCAAGACAAAGAAATAGCCCTCCACCTATACAGAGCAGAGAGCGTTTCCTAATAATATATTGCAGCCTTCTAGATACGAGTCTTATTAAGATATAACAATACAGAAATCGCCCACCTGTAACCACTATTGTTATTGTATATTTTTATACTCTTCAAGACACATAGCCCATGGAAGATTGTCAATGACCATAGTCCTGTTTAACTAGAAAAGCTAAACCAGAAGTATATTACAGTTAAATGTTGGACAGTTTTTGGAGCCAGTTAGAGTACCATTCTCTTTTTTTGGAAAAAAACTGTCCTATTACTTATGATATATTTTTCCATTGTCAGTTGAAATATAATTTGATCAATCAAACAGGATTTGTGGAATGGGTTAGAGGACTTCCAATGTCTGGCAATAATAATTTTAACTGCAACAAAGCAGTAAATAGCAAAACAAATATATTTATGCGACTTTAATTGACAATTCAAGTGTAAAAGGGCAGAAGCCAAGTTTTTATTGAGTTTATTAAGTGTGACTATGTAGAAGATATTAAATGCCCACACCCAAAGCGATTTAACTAGTGGGCAGGCCCACCATATATGAATATATGTGCCCGGGTGCGTGCCACATCTCCAACAAGTAGAATCGTATGTATCGTACATTCTGGCCAGTCTTGTTGGGGTAAAATACCATCTGTGTACGACCTTGAAATGGCATTCAGTCAGATTAAGACAATGTATATATTTGTTTGCATAAGTTAAGCCAATCATTTAGGGGAATCACTAAATGTAATTCCTTCTCCCATGTATTAATCAATTTCTGGGGGCTGATCTTAGATTCATCAAGCAGAGAGATGGCAACAGAAGTGACCTTAGAAACCGATCCGTAACAAAATAGACTTTCCAACTTCTTTGCCAATGGGAAGGAGGTTGGAATAACACATTTCTGTAAGAAATGTTTAATTCGAAGGTAAGTAAGTATCTCTTTAGGAGAAATATGTACGTTATCCACAATCTGTTGGAAAGGCAAAATAGTATCTCCTTGCATAATGTCCGAGATAATTAGTGAATCATTATTTCCCCAGTGTCTCAAAGAAAAATCGTCTATAATACATTCTAATATATTAAGTTACAAGATCTCGGGATTATTTGTGCAAAACAAGAATTTTCTTAATTTCTGCCCAAGCTTCTAGAGTTTGAACCAAAAGTAGATGGATAACTTATAGTAGGATCAATTAAAATCCCCTTGATATCAAACCACATATAGTAATATAGTCTAGAAGTATGGGCAGCTTCCAACTCCAAAATGAACCATGGTTTGCAGAAAACCTGTGGATCTTGAAGAATATATATATGGCGATAATATTGGCGAAATAAATATAAGTAATACTTGGGAAACTAAGGCCACCCTGAGATAACTTTTTAGATAGAATTTTCTGGCTAATTCTAAGTTTTTTATTCTTCCAGATAAAATTATTAAAACTTGATTGAATCATTGCTAACCAAGGCTTGGGCATTTTTAGTGGGACCATAGGAAAAAAATATAACCACTTAGGTAAAATGTAGGAATTTATCATATTGATTCTACCTATCCACGAAGTTTCCAGATTTTGCCATTTTTTTTAAATTGAGGTTCATGTTTTTCATTAAGATCAAAGCATTTCTCTCCATTATAGTCGAGAAATTTGCAGGAATAGTTAGACCCAAGTAGTTTATTTCCTTATCTGTCCAAATAAATTTGTATCTCTGAGATAACTTGTCAATCTGATCTAAGGACATATTGATGCTTAAAGCTGTCGATTTTGAAATATTTAACTTAAAATTGGATATATTAGAATATCTATCAATTTCAGACATTAAGGGCCATTCGTCAGGGGATGTTAAAATAACTAAAGCGTCATCCGCATATAGTGACATTTTAATGTCACTTGATTTCTTATGAACACCCTTAATTAATGTGTTGTTCCTAATATTGATAGCCAGGGGTTCAAGCGATAAAATATACAATAGGGGCGAGAGAGGACACCCCTGCCTGGTACCATTTTTTTTTTTTTTTAATTCTTTATTTTTGTCGTGCATAGTTTACACATCAGCCTGTTTGGCCACAACACCTGGAACAGGTATTATAACTTTAGGCTTTATCATGACAGTTGAGAAATCTGCACATTTTTAAATGAGGTTAAACAGAGCAAGTAAGCAGAATATTGTAGTATAGGTACTGTGGGGCGATTTATGTAGAGTATGTGTCAGATGGCTCAGAGATGAATTGGTCGGTTGACCCCGGTGTGCTGGGACCGTACTCTTATGAGTAGTGTGTGGGTTGTAGGTGGTTGAGTCGTGTACCTCTGTGTGTAGGTAAGGTAGAGCCTTAAGCCATGTTGGTAGCTCCGGTATGTAGTTCTTAATAGAGGGTGAATACATGGCACTTGTTGTGGTGAGCGTGGTGTTTGGTTGGGTTGGTCTGATTTGCGTCCGAATGCGTGCATGTACAGCTCCTCCGTGGAGTGCGTATGATGGATACATATGATGGCAGCTGGGGGGGTAGTTATTAAAAAGGAGCCAGTGTGTCCAGGGTAATTCACAGTGTTGGCCGTGTTTGGCCTCTGTGTGTAGTTGTGTTACAACTTTGTGTAGTGTTCTAAACGTTTGTCACATAGTCAACATTTCACAGAGGGCTAAGCCCAACATAGAGAGTAGTAACATATAAAGAATGTATAGGCTTATGAGTCAGGTGTTCTCCCTCCCAGGTCCTCCCTCTGAAGCGGGGATGAACGGGACAGTTTTCGCTGGGTCCCAGGTTGTAGAGGGGGGTGGGGCTGTGAGGCCCAGGGCCGCTAGGACAGTGTCCATTTCCGAAATGTCTGCCACCTTATATGCAGTGTCTTGGTACTGAATGAGGAGTACATGCATAGGTCCCCAGCGGTACTTCACTCCCCTAGCTGCCAGCGTAGTTGTCAGTGGACAGAGGGATTTCCTCCAGAGCAGAGTATTGCGGGAGAGGTCAGAGTAAAACGACAGTTCCATATCTTCAAATCTATATGGGTTTTTCCCCCTGGTGGCACTCATGAAGGCTGCTCTGTCTTGCCCGTTTTGGAACTTAATCAGTAGATCGCTGGTAGTTGCGCTTGAGGGTATTGATGGTTTGGGCAGGCGGAACATCCCATCTAGTTGTATTCCTTTGGCTTGCCTGGGGGATAAGAGGGCCGTGAATAGCCTTCGCATAAAGTGAGGCAATTCTGCTGGGAGAACTCCATCAGATAGGCCCCTGATTTTTACATGTTTCCACCGTCGTTTATCTTCCATAGCGGCTAGTTGGTGGGTGAGAGTAGTGTGAGCAGCTGTCAGGTCGGTGACCTGCCTCTGTAGTGCCAGGACCTGTGTTGAGGTTGTCTGGGAGGTCTGCTCCACTGCAGTAAGGCGGGCAGTGAACCCCCTGATGTCTTCCCTCACCTGGGTTATTTCAGTGGAGAGCGTTTGGCGGAGGTCCGTGAGGAGGTTAGTAATTACCTCCGTGGTGACCGGGTGAGAGGAGCCTGCTGTCTGCTATGGAGGCTTGGGGGGCCCTTTAGACCCTAGCGTACCTGGGCTGTGTAAAGGGACCTCTTCTGAGCTGTCAGTGAAGTCGTCGTATTCAGCCGCCATATTGGATCTGACCGCGCCATGCGGTCTCCTAAGCAGGTCTCCTATGTCCGCTGTAAACCGCGGCTGATCCGCCCGCGGTTTTTTATTTTTCCTCCCCATATGTGTGGCTTCTCTTTCCGACCGTCGGCCGGGTCGTGTGAGGGTTGGTGTCGGCAGTATTTAAGCCGTTAGTGTTTCCCGACCGGGAGAGCTGCAGTCGTGCGTCCGATCTCGCTGGGCGCTAGCTCCGCCCCCCGCCTGGTACCATTTTTAAGATCGAACCAGCCCGCAGTTATATTCGAACCCACCGTTCTGGCTGAGGGGGCGGAGTACAGAGCTAAAATTGCACCGTATATCCATCCCGTAAAGCCGAATGCCTTCAATACTTCACTTAAATATCCCCACCCAACACTGTTGAATGCTTTTTTGGCGTCTAAAGACAGGGCCAGGAGGGGAGTATTATGTCTTTTGGTCCAGTCAATGATATCAATCAGTCTACGGGAATTATTTGAAGCCCATCTACCGGGGATAAACCCAATTTGATCCGGATGGATAAGTTTCGATATAATGTTTTTAATTCTCTCAGCAATAATAGCTGAGTATATCTTCATGTCTACATTGATTAACGCGATCGGTCTGTAATTTCTGGGATCCTTACCATCTTTATTCTGTTTCAAAATAGGAACAAGGTTGGATTGTAACAATTCTTTTGGTAACGTATTATTTTCGGCAATTTGATTAAAGAATTGAGTTATGGGGTTTAATAAATGCGACTTCATATATTTATAATATAAATTTGTGAAACCGTTAGGCCCCGGGTTTTGTTTGTGGCCAGTCTATCTATTTGGAACTGAACTTCATCCATAGAGATTTTCTTATTTAAAGATGACAAATCTTGGGAAGTAATTTTCGGGATTAGTGTAATGTATAAATAATTTTGAATATCCGTTATTTTTGGGCGCAATTTTAAATTGTATAATTCTTGATAAAATTGATTGAATTTTTGTCCTATTTGAGGAGTAGAGTAAACTATGTGATCAATCGACAGTTTTTCTACCCTATTCCTCGCATAGTGATTTTCAAGTCTTTTTGTAAAATTTTTGTTAGCTCTGTTGCCCGTGTGATAATTATTTAACTTTAATTTATTTATATTGATCTTAATCTTTTCTTCTTCTTTTAGGTTGATTTGTTGTTGTAGGTGTTTTAAACGGGTTCTTAAGTCTAGATTGGAATATTGTTTATTTAAATGAGAGCAAGAATAAAATTCAATATATAAATCTTTTAAATTCTTGCCATTTTTTTTCTTATAAGTATAACCCATTTTGATTAGATAACCCCTCATGACAGATTTGTGAGTGCACCAATCAGAGGGGAAGTATCAGCCGGAATATTTTCAGCCCAAAAGTAGTCTAATGACTTGGACAGCTCCTCCCTATATTGATCGTCTTTAATAAGGGAATCGTTCAGTCTCCAGGTGGTACGGGACAATGGGGGGTTGTTACCAAGGTCAATTAAAACAAAGCTGTGGTCAGACCAAGGATTTTCCTTGATAATAATAGAGTTAAAAAGAGGAATTGTATTTGAGTTAGTTAGACAGTAATCAATCATTGAATAGGTATCATGAACACTAGATAAATGAGAGTAATCTTTTTGAAAGGGATGGAATAGTCTCCAAATGTCATAAAGATTATATTGTTTACAAATGGTATGTAATTATTTTGGCCTGTTTCATGATTTTTTAGTATTCATGGATGAAGATATAGCCGTCTTGTCTAATTTGTGGTCATTAACACAATTAAAGTCACCGGCAATAATCAAAGAGCCCTTAGAGATCTTGTCAACTTTATCCATTATTACAGAAAATTTTGCCATTGGATCAACATTGGGAAGGTATACATGAACCAAAGTATAGATCTTATTATCGATATTGCAAACCAAAATAATAAACCTAGCATCTGGATCCAATTCCAAGTGTATAATATCCAGTTTAAGGTCTTTATTAAATACAAGTGCAACCCTCTTTTTTTTTTTTTATCTATTAAGGAAGCATGAATAATTATTGAATATTTGTCTCCACCCCATCTTTGTCTAGAGTCCTTAAGCCAATGGGTTTCCTGTAGAAAAGCAACCTGGATGTTATGTTCCACCAAGGAGTTATACAATCGATTTCTTTTCCTATTAGTATTAAGCCCCTGGGCGTTTATAGATAGTATCATCTGCATCAAAATATCTCATTGTCATCCTTTGGAAACCTCCTGCTCAGAAAAAGAAACAACAAAAAAAGAGAAAAGAAAGAAAACTTAGAGCAAAGACACTCTGATGTCAGATTATGCACCAATCCGACATCACCGCACACCAAACGATTACCTGAAAGTATAAAACTAATGAATCCATTAATGTCCATCAGGGCACAATGAAAATAATGTAGTATGACTACACAAGAGGGGAGACCCGACTACATGACCGAGGGACTTATGACCGAAGGTCACTCCCCCGTCATTATACAACCTAATTATAATCGTGCAAAATAAATCCACTAGCACACCGCTGCTAATAGAATGATCTTAACCCAGAACGAGTAGGTACAGCTTCATAGACTCTGATTTCGAAACATGCTTTAATACAACAAAGATTCCTGGGGGATATATAGTGGCGTGTAAGGCCAATAGAGCATTATGCCCTTAAATACGAGGATAGCTGATTGTTCATACCCATTTAATAAAATCTCCTTGTGACATTCTTAAAGCAATAAACTAACATCTCTCTGAACAAATTTAAGTAGAGCTCATTTTTATGCAGAAATCCTTTAAAGGTAAACTTAAATAGGTCCGAAAGAAAAAAAAAATCTTCATATATTATGCGAACTCTATTAGCACCAAGTAACCGTGTAAAGTGAGTTTGTTCCCAATTAATTTCTTCTTCTTTATCTATAAATACACCTTCCCTAAATTTAAATTCAGGACTAGTCTTAAAAAAATACAATTACTATATGCATATACAGTGAAATATAAAAGAATATAAGTACATTGTGCCTTATTATACAGTGACATTTTTTTTTAAATTTATAGCAAAACCTTGTGGTCTTCCCATGTGAAACAGGAAAATAGAACGCATTAACAGAAACTCCTCCTTCATTATTCCATTCTGTTACAGCCACACTAACCATAGAAAGTGAATTTTTCCCTATGGTGCGTTCTCTGTTACTTATAATTATCCTTCCTTAACTTTAGACTCAAACCAAAACATAAAACCAATAAAAAGAACTGTGTACGTATATAATATTATGTAAGGAAAATTAGGTGCATTGTGCCCTATAGAACGCTCAAATTTATATGTTTATAATAATTCATTGTATTTTTCCCCAGTGATATGAATTCTGGTCACAATCCCATTGGGTATGCTTTTGAGAAAAAAAAAAAAAAAAGTATACCTTATAAGTACACCTTCCTTAATTTTAAATTCAGGGAATATCGTGAAACCAATATAAAAACTATATGCATATACAGTGAACTCTAAAGAAAATAAGTGCATTGTGACCTATATTACAGTGACATTTTCAAATTTATAACTATTCATTGTGATCTTCCCATAAAATACAGGAGAATAATTCAATATATTAACATCTTCTCTAATCGGCTATGAATTGGGTTCAGATTTGTGATATAACGCCCAGATGGGCTCCAACAAAGTAAAAGAAGTAATTAGGGTGTACATGGAGAGAAAAAAAAAAAAAAAATATATATATATATATTCATTTTTAACAAAAACACATCCTTATAACCGTAATTTGTATATCTACACAAGCAATTTGTTTCTTTTCAACCATTCGATTAAATTCGCATTTGAATCAAACACTTCTCTTTTCCTATCATATATCAAACTTAATTTTAAAGGGAAGAGCCACCTATATTTTATGTTATGGCTCCTTAGAATTTGGGTGGCAGAGCTAAACATTTTTCTTTTAGATCTAGTTTCAAATGATAAGTCCTGAAACACTTTGACATTCTTGAATGGGCCCGAGGAAATCGAATTTAATCTAGCAGCATTTAAAATCGACTCTTTAAAGTCATATTAAAAGAAGCATGCCATAATATCACAAGGTAAATCGTTCTGGATTGATTGTGGTTTAAATAGTCTGTGACACTTTTCTATTGGCTGTTCAAATGAGTTACATGTAATTCCCAACGCAGAGATATAATCTATCACAATTTGCTGAGCACCGTCCTGGCTTCCCTTCTCTGCTAGATTTCTGAAGCACAGGTTTTTTCGCATGGATCGGTCTTCTAGATCGCTCACTTTAAGTTCGAGGTCTGAAATATTGCGATGTGCCTTTTGGCAATCATCTGTCAGGTGTTTTACTTGGGAGTCCAAATCTTTTAATTTTGCCTCAAAAGCATCCATTTTTGCATATTTATTTCTAATTTTATATCTGATTTAATTTCTGCTGCCACTGCTGCCAGTTCAGATTTTATCTCGTCTAAATTGGCCTTTAAGCTGGTGTGTAGCAAAGAGACCGTAATCAAATCTTTGTCAGGATTTTTTATACCCTCTGACTCCATACTTTCTGAGCTGAGGTCCATTTCATTCATCTTCTGTTTAAGGGTCTTATGTTGCTGAGGAGAGAAGTAAGTAGTTAAAGATGTATCCTGTATCTTTTCCTGTACAGAGTCTTTTTTATCCTTACTCACAGAGGATTTTGTTTTGTGTGATTTTTTCGTGGCCATAATATAGTAACCTCCTATTGAGGGCAGTCCAGAATGCCACAAATTAACCTCGAGCGGCCCAGCAAATGTATGGATTTTATAAGTACAGAATTAGGTAAACTGCTCAATGAATTAAATAGTGTCACTTATCTTTAGTAGCCTCAAGCAATGTATGAGTTCCAAAACATACCGCCTGGCAAATATTTTCAGCCCTTCTTGTCAGCAGCAGAGAGCCACCATCAGGGCCGGATTAACATAGGGGCTGATGGAGCTGCAGCTCCAGGCCCAGGCCCATGGAATAGGCCCATTGATTTAAAAAAAAAAAATTTATTTTAATTTTTTTTTTTTTTTTTTTACACACTACTCTTAGGGATTCCACCTGGCTTTTATTTTATTGGCACAGCCAGTATTTGAGGCTGCCTGGCTGGTGCCAATTGCAGTGATACTGGCAATACACTGGTATTTTTCTCAGAATAAACAAGAGATTACTCTGCAATACCAGCACTGGCCAGTAGGGGTCACTGTGTATGGAGAGATGCAGGGATAGGAAGTTCCAGCATATCCCTCCCTGCCTATCTATACTCACTGATCTGCAGGGGTGCAGCTACAGAGAGTCCAGACAGCAACTCTCACCCTGCAGAGACAGCCTACAGCTCAGGGAAGTAAGGGATGGGGGGAAGGCTGCAAGGAGACATACACTGAGACACTAAGGGGCACTGGGAGACTTTATGGCAGACACTGAGACACTAAGGGACAATGGGAGACATTATGGCAGACACTGAGACACTAAGGGACATTGGGAGACATTATGGCAGACACTGAGACACTAAGGGACACTGGGAGACATTATGGCAGACACTGAGACACTAAGGGACATTGGGAGACATTATGGCAGACACTGAGACACTAAGGGACATTGGGAGACATTATGGCAGACACTGAGACACTAAGGGACATTGGGACATTATGGCAGACACTGAGACACTAAGGGACATTGAGAGACATTATGGCAGACACTGAGACACTAAGGGACATTGGGAGACATTATGGCAGACACTGAGACACTAAGGGACATTGGGAGACATTATGGCAGACACTGAGACACTAAGGGACATTGGGAGACATTATGGCAGACACTGAGACACTAAGGGACACTGGGAGACATTATGGCAGACACTGAGACACTAAGGGACATTGGGAGACATTATGGCAGACACTGAGACACTAAGGGACATTGGGAGACATTATGGCAGACACTGAGACACTAAGGGACATTGGGAGACATTATGGCAGACACTGAGACACTAAGGGACATTGGGAGATATTATTGCACACAATGAGACACTAAGGGACATTGAGAGACATTATGGCAGACACTGAGACACTAAGGGGCACTGGGAGACATTATGGCAGACACTGAGACACTAAGGGGCATTGGGAGACATTATGGCAGGCACTGAGACACTAAGGGACATTGGGAGACATTATGACAGACACTGAGACACTAAGGGACACTGGGAGACATGGCAGACACTGAGACACTAAGGGGCACTGGGAAACATTATGGCAGACACTGAGACACTAAGGGACATTGGGAGACATTATGGCAGACACTGAGACAATAAGGGGCACTGGGAGACATTATGGCAGACACTGAGACACTAAGGGGCACTGGGAGATATTATGGCAGACACTGAGACACTAAGGGGCATTGGGAGATATTATGACACAGACACATGGGGACACAGTGTCCCCATGTCTCCCAGCCAGTGCTCCTGGTGTCTCAGTGATCCCTAGTCTCCCAGTGACCCCTAGTCTCCCAGTCTGCCAGTGTCTCACTGTCTCCATGTCTCCTAGTGCCTCCATGTCTCTCATTGCCTAAAGTGTCACAATGTCCCCATGTCTCCAAGCTAGTGTCCCTAGTGTCTGTGGCCCTGGTGTCTCAGTGTCCCCATGTCTCAATGTCCCCCAGCCAGTGTCTCTAGTGTCTGTGTCCCTGATGTCTGTGTCCACATATCTTCAAGTGTCCCCTATTTTCCCATTGGCCCCATGTGTCCCAGCCGGAGTTCCCTAGTCTCCCAGTGTCACTTGTGTCTCCGTGTCCCTAGGTCTCCCCATGTCCCCAGGTCTCCCTGTCTTCCTAGTGTCCTAGTGACCCTGGGATACATGGGGACACAGGGAGACATGGGGCATTGAGACACTGTGATACATAGGATCACTGGGAGACCTGGGGACACGACACTAGGGGACACTGGGAGACATGGGGCACTGAGACACTGATACATATGAACACTGAGACCTGGAGTAATCGACACATGGGGGCACTGAGTCATGGGGGCACTGGGAGACATAGGGGCACTGGGAGGAATCCATCTATACAGCAGAATCAAACTAATAGTTTTTTTGGTGATTTTACAGCATTTTCTCTTATGTCAATCCATTTTTTTCCAAGAAAGGTGGCAACCCTAACTACTTTTCACATACTCTTACTTAAGTATGGAAACTTAAGTGGGATGTATGGGAACAAAACTTGTGTGGACTGGCTGACAATTAATATAGTTAAAGGGACACTATAGTCACCAGAACAACTACAGCTTATTGAATTTGTTCTGGTGAGTAGAATCATTACCGTCAGGCTTTTTGCTGTAAAAACTGTCTTTTCAGAGAAAATGCAGTCTTTACATTACATCCTAGTGATAACTTCACTGGCCACTCCTTAGATGACTGTTAGAGATCCTTCCTGTGTCATGGCTGCCTAAAATGCATCCAAACATTCAGTGTCTCCTCCCTCTGCATGCAGACACTGAACTTTCCTCATAGAGATTAATTAATTAAATTCATCTATATAAGGAGAAGCTGATTGGCCAGGGCTGTGTTTGAATCATGCTGGCTCTGACCCTGATCTGCCTCTTTGTCAGTTTCAGCCAATCCTATGGGGAAGCACTATGATTGGATCAGGCCACCACTTCTAATGATGTCAGCAGACTGCTTGTTTTTATGAGTCTAACAGCATGCAGAGTTACAGCTTCAGGCTTGAATATAGTAAGATTTTGCTATATTTATGGAGACATGAGGGGCCCAGGGGGGCTAGATGGTGGTGTTAACACTATAGGGTCATGAATTTACCCAGGACATACTTGAAAACGAGAGAAATCTCAATGTATCTTTCCTGGTAAAATATTTTATAAATAAATAAATAAATAATTCATGTTTGTGTTCCTGACCCTATAGTGATCCTTTAAGGTAATGCTGACTTTGGTCTCTCTAACACTGTGGCATGTTCCCTTTCTTCTACACTCACTACATACAGCTTTTCTCTGTCCCAGACCATATACCAGGAGCTTCTGCCTGCTAGTAAGAAGGTAAGGAGACAAGTGGACCAGCGAGTGCTAGGGGACAGTCCTTAGAAAGCGTTGAGTGAGCGCATCATTAGATGCATTTATGCCAAGCTCAGGGTGCTGTCTGCATAGTATGCCCTTAGTTGGCCAGCTGCATGATTGGCAGGCAGCCTGACATGCATTCATGCCAGGCTGGCCTTCTAATTCTTTGAGCAGACATGTCCTCTTTTTGGGCATGTTCGCCCCTTTTGGCAGGTTACGTGATTTGTGTCAGTGACACACCCTTTTACCATGCCCATTGACTTCCTGCTTGACTGGACACTGCTGTTAGGGGTTATGGATTTACTTGAAAGATGAAAACATAAATTAGAGAGAGATTAGCCTTTTCTTATAGCTGCTGTTTTCTTTCTCTCCAGCACCATCTCCATCATATACATGATGCTTGGGAGTGTTTTACTGTTTTTGGTCGATATGATTCTGTAATTAGGCCCGTCATAATAGTCAGCACCAGGCCCACTGGGCTCTTAATCTGGCCCTGGCCACCATGCTGGGCACCCGCCAGGGATGCCGACAAAACCAGCTTGTGACGGTGCAAGCTGCTGCCAGAGCCCAGCAGACGATCGTATTCAGCAGCAGCCACTCTCAGGTGGCCAAAAACAGGCGGAGGGACCCTTGAAATTTACAAGTTCACGGAGGGCAGCAAAGAGCAGCCAAACAGAAAATCTGCGCCAGCACATGCTCCTCAGCAGAAGGAGACACAGACCGAACACAGGCAACACCAACGGCGTGTCTTTTTTGACGGGAGAAGTAGCCCTCGGATTCAGCTCTGTTCATACCGGGTCAAGGCGGGTCGCCCCTCCTCTTCGATCATCGCGGCGCCCGAGCGTCAGCACGTCCACACGTCATTAACCCCCCAAGATTAGTGTGTGCCAGGGGACCTCCAGGCACCATAACAACTTCATTTAGATTAAGTTGTTTTTGTGCCTCGAATGTTTCTTTAAGACTAAGGGAAAAGAGAAGCAAAATCCTCTGCACAAATCATACATATGATTCCTCATTCCTTGTTAACTTTACCAAATAACTTCCAAGTTTACATCCTGCTATTTTAATACACAGAAGAATGATGCTGTAAGAGTGCAGCCCCAAACCCCTGTATGCCAAGAACATGTGTGGTGGTCCACTGCCCCTTAACCAGTCCTCTCCTTTTCATCCATATGAGAAATCAGAGATTGACCACAACATTCCCCATTTTCACTGAAGCACATATCCTATCTTACTCTGTCAGCCCCAATGAAAGTCACAGTAAAGTCACTTAAGTGAAAAAAAATAAGAAGCACAAAAAAAAAATATCCCACAAAAAAAACATGTTCCTATATACTGCCTGTTTCCCACCTCACTTTCAAGCTGACAAGCTCTGGTACTTGCGTGCACCAAAATGATCACATGACCTGTCACATGACCCAGCAAACATGGCTGCTCCCAGTTCGGAAGCTTTGCGGCTTCTACAGGTCTGCCTGTGGCTAACTCTAATAGTCGGAATAGGGCTGGTGAGGGCAGACTGCGGCTGTAACGCTGCAAACAGACATGGCCAAGGGACCGAAAAACACCGTCATGGAGCGGCCTTCAAATACTCACAGGAGGCAAATGAGAAAGTATCAGGACCCGGAGAAACTAAAGACCGGGACAAGGTGGGTTATTCAGAGCTGGGGGAGGGATTGGGTTTAAGTCTGATAAACAGGCAGACATTACCATTTGATTTGGCACAGTGTTAACAGTCTGATAACTCTGCTACTATTTGAGTACTAGAAATTTAGTCATAATGCAAAAAGGTTCACTTAGTGTACAAATGTGAGATATAAGTTGCACAGTGCTTCTTTTGGAAATTAAGAGAAAATATTCCTCTAGTTACAGAGTCAGAATCAAATTTAATTTTCTGGCTTTAGGGCTATGTTTATTAGAAATGTAAGCAATTTTAAGGCTTACTGGGTTTTTTGATAATATTTGAATTTCAGATACTTAAAATCTGAATAGTGAACTTGAGTCTTAAAATGGAAAAATTCAACAACTCACAGCTTGACTATTTTAGTTTTGCCACATGTATTTTAATCCTCTAGAACAGGGGTTCCCAATAATTTCTCCAGTGGAACCCTTTGACATAGCGTATCAACATCGTTGAACCGCCTCCCCCCCCTGTTAAAAATAAATAAATAAATATATATATATGTATATATGTATGTATGTATGTATGTGCCGGTGTGTGTATCTGTGTTTGTATGTGCCAGTGTGTGTATCTGTGTGTCACACGCACACTGGCACATAGTGGCACACAGATACTGATACACACACTCAGATGCACACAGTGACACATACACACATCTTGACTCATAAATACACACACTTGCACCCACAGATACACACACTGGCACATACACTCAGATACACACATTAACACATGCACACAGTGGCATATACACACACACTGACATACAAACACACTGATATACACTGGCACACACACACCAGTACACACATACTGACATATACACACAGTGACACATTGACAAAACTTGACACACACTCAGACACACATACACTCTCACTGACAAACACACATACTCTTTGACAGACACATACAAACTCATATACACTCACTGACAAGCGCTCACATACATTCTCACTGACAAGCACTCACATACATTCTCACTGACAAGCGCACACATACATTCTCACTGACAAGCGCACACGTACATTCTCACTGACAAGCGCACACGTACATTCTCACTGACAAGCGCACACGTACATTCTCACTGACAAGCGCACACGTACATTCTCACTGACAAGCGCACGTACATTCTCACTGACAAGCACACACATACATTCTCACTGACAAGCGCACACGTACATTCTCACTGACAAGCGCACACATACATTCTCACTGGCAAGCACACATACATTCTCACTGGCAAGCGCGCATCCACTCTCACTGGCAAGCACGCATGCATCTACTCTCACTGACAAGCACGCATGCATCTACTCTCATTGACAAGCACGCATGCATCCACTCTCACTGGCAAGCACGCATGCATCTACTCTCACTGGCAAGCACGCATGCATCTACTCTCACTGACAAGCACGCATGCATCTACTCTCACTGACCAGCACGCGTGCATCTACTCTCACTGACAAGCACGCATGCATCCACTCTCACTGGCAAGCACGCATGCATCCACTCTCACTGGCAAGCACGCATGCATCCCCTCTCACTGGCAAGCACGCATGCATCCACTCTCACTGGCAAGCACGCATGCATCCACTCTCACTGGCAAGCACGCATGCATCCACTCTCACTGGCAAGCACGCATGCATCCCCTCTCACTGGCAAGCACGCATGCATCCCCTCTCACTGGCAAGCACGCATGCATCCACTCTCACTGGCAAGCACGCATGCATCCACTCTCACTGGCAAGCACGCATGCATCCACTCTCACTGGCAAGCACACATGCACACACTCTCACTGGCAAGCACGCATGCACACACTCTCACTGACAAGCAAACACACATACAAACTCCTTAATAGACACATACACATTTTTTTCTTTCACACCACCCAGCCTCCCTACCTTTTGGGAATGCTGGCATGGAGTCTCTATTTCCTTGGGTCCAGTGGGGCTGCTGGGCCAAGCGGCTGGCGTGCAGGCGGTGAGGGAGCAGTGATATTCCTGCTCAGCTACCTCGCGCGCCTCTTAGTGATGCCGGGGCCGGAGTGACATCATATTCTGGCTCTGGCATCACTGCTGTGCGCGAGAGAGAGTTGAGCAGGGGAAAGTGCTCCCTCGCCATCCGCCTCAATTATCGCGGTGCCCATTTTGTTTCCTGAAATTACAGCGGAACCCCATCTGTGTTCTCACGGAACACCAATTGGGAAACGCTGCTCTAGAATATTCTATTGAAATTTATATGCATCAGCTTCTAAATTCTATAGGTTGCTCTGATGATTGCTGTATATCTTAGAATTTGCTACAGAATTGCTCCGTTGTTGCCTTGATACACTCGTCCTTTAGTGTCTTATCACCACATTTGTAAGAGATGATTTTCATATCTCTGGCTTTAAAGACTTAATTAGACAAGACATCCTCAATGTGTCTGTTCATCATGTTTATTTGTTGTTTCCTATTGTGTGATAATGAATAGTTATCACCATTTTAAACCTGAAGATATATCACTGCTCAATCACGTTCCCTTAGTATTCTTTTTTTCTTTTTTTTTCTTTTTAGTATTGGTAAATATTTTAATGGTCTTGTGCACAAAACAAGATTTTGTTAATAAACACAGGGTAATGTGGCAAATAATTTGCTAGGTAGGTAAATAATGTGTGCACAAGGGAGCGCGTAAGAAAACGGTAAGCACGAACTCCATTAAAGGGTGAGGAAAATGTAATTTCCTGTACATTAAAATGTGAGAAAAGTATGCTCGGACACAAAGAAAGGCTAATAAAGAAAAGAAAAATGTTTCTTGGGTATTACAAAGGTGCTTTGTGATGAAAATCTAGGCACCCAAACAAAAAACTTACAGCAATAGGTGTTATGGTTTCAAATCACTAAAGCCTTTTGCTTTCATTTACAGTATGCAATAACTTTACATCCCTAAACATGGACAATACTGAAAAAAAATATGAAGAATTTTGTAGCAGTTTAAGGCATCGATCCAATACTGTTAGAAAAACTTCAAATCCATACGGTTTATGTACAAAAAATTCCTGTAGATTTGTCACGTTTTTCTAACTGTACTAAATCATTTGGAAAGCATATTTATAAAAAAAAGTGGGCCAAATTGCCCTTCTTAGTACAGTTTTCCAACAAACATAAGGAACTGCACTCAATCCCATCAATCTGAGCAAAGGGGCAACTAAACCACAGCCAAGCACCAGGTTCCAGTGGCAATAGTATAACATACAATAAATGGTTCAGGCACTCCAAGGTTCAGAATGGCAAATTCAAGCTTGACAAAGACTGTGAGGTCGAAACGTTGCTTTGGGCTCCAATAAATTTGCCATTCTGAACCTTGGAGTGCCTGAATCATTTCTTGTATGTTATACTTCTTAGTGCAGCTGTCATCTTTCTTAGTCCAGTTCTCTTGAATGACAAAGTGAACCATTTGGTTCAGATGCTGAACTGTAGTGATGCATGATATTTCAGAAAGAGAAGGCGATATATCAGTCATGATATATTTTAGGAAGACTCTATTATTACACTTACCTTATTGGTTAAAGGGAAACTCCAGGCACCCAGACCACTTCTGCCCATTGGAGTGGTCTGGGTGCCAACTCCCACTACTCTTAACCCTGCAAGTGTAATTACTGCAATAATTACCTTGTAGGGTTAACTCCACCTCTAGTGGCTGTCTACTAGACAGCCACTAGAGGGCACTTCCTGCTTCATAGCACAGAAAACCTGTGCTAGAGCGTCGCTGGACATCCTCACGCTGTGTGAGGACCTCCAACGTCGCTCAGTTCCCCATAGAAAAGCATTTTCAATGCTTTCCTATGGGGAGCTCTAATGCGCATGCGCGGCATTGCCACGCATGCGCCTTAGGTCTCATCGGCTGATGGCCGGGATCAGTCTCGCCCACCGGCCGACGTAATACTTAGGAGGAGCGGCGGCGGAGGAAGAAGCAGCGACGTGGGACATGTCGCTGCTTCTGGTAAGTGACTGAAGGGGGTTTCACCCCTTCAGCAACCGGGGATTGGGAGGTGGGAGGGAGAGGGGACCTGCAGTGCCAGGAAAACGGATTGTTTTCCTGGCACTGGAGTTTCCCTTTAATGCACGTGGCTAGATCTCAGCTCACAGACTGGCTCTCTTTACCTTTGGTATTGGTCTGTGTATATTGTACTGTCTGTTTCCCCACTTAGACAGCACTACACAATATATTGGCTCTTTATCAATTCCAGTAATAATACTGAGTAACTGAATTTAATATATAAATACATTTAAAATGCATGTTCCCTTAACGCCGTATTTTATATGCATGCCGTTTTTTCCTCTCTCTTACCATCCTTTTCCCGCTTCCTCAATCCCATAGATGATACTGCTACCTGCTGGAATATTCACCATGGGCACTGATAAACCTGACATTCCCCAGGATGGAGAAAGCCCAGCCCGTAGAGTTCAGTTGGACTCCTTCTATATGGACATGTATGAAGTCAGCAACTTGGAGTTTGACAAGTTTGTGACAGTGACAAAACACGTAACAGAGGTGAGACATTGGCAGGCAACAAGGGCCAAATGCTAAAGAGCGCGTCTGTGAAAGAGTTCTAAAAATGTAGAAATTGGCAGGAGCATCTCAATGGTTTCTTTGGTGACTGCTTCACATTTCAAATTTTTCTCTTGATCTCAATATGAGCCAAAAAAAAAACAATAAAACCATTTTTATATCTAAGCAGGCAAAAAATGAGCAAACTGGTTCCAAACACCTTCTTTTTTTTATTATTTTTTAGATTAATTGCATTTGGTGAGGTTTTTATGCATTAGCAAATCAGATTGAACCCACCCACAAGTGCAGCATGGAATCAAAATGCAAGACTGGTCCCCTCTACATCACCTCGATTGATAATTCGGCACCATAATTGAGCTTTACTCGTAGCCTCCATTATCATATTGAAAACACTGATATCTAAAGCAGAAAATAAGTCAAACATTATAATGGTAGATTTATGAATAGATTTATTGGAGAGTCTAAACGGCAAAATGTAATTCTGTGAATTGTTGACATGCTAGCAAAATAGGTGGGACTATGGTAAAGACATTTTGTGGAGACAATTGTCATCATAAAAAAAAAAAAAGTTTTTAATAGTTTAGCTCAGGGGGATAAACATTTTCTAGGGTCTTTGCTGTGGATGTCATTGAATTGCATCTTACATATAGGCTGCAATTGTTGAATTATTTGTATGACCAATTAACATTTATATCTATGAAATGTAATCTAACACAGCCTTTCCAATGATGCCCTTTTATATACAGGAGCTTAGTTGAACTGAAAGCCTGCCAGGTACTTATTTGAGTGCTACAACTGTTAGCATGTTTTTCTTTTCTTTCTTTGTCTTGTTCAATTGTCAGTAGTAGTGGTGCAGCTCCATGTCCTAAGGCCGTCCACGATATATTTGTAAGTAGCAATGGTAGGCTGTGCAAATACAAAATTTTCACTGACCCTACTCCAATACCACAGTTTAGGTAAAACCCTGGTAAAGGTTACAAACAGGCGGGATTACACGGTATGTTGTGTCCAGGTACACAGAGATCAGTCCAAAATTAGTAAGTCCTAAACCTCTTTAGATTTACGACAGTTCTTCCAGGAAGGGAATGGGATAAACACCGGAACCTTATTTTGTTAGGTTAATGTCATCTTCTATAACTTCTTTCTTTAGTTACTTTGAAACCCATTTGCTACAGCTCATTCCTTTTCCCACTCACCTCCACATTCAATCTCCATGCTACATTCATTACCCAATCTCTACCACTTCTTATTACCTTCCTCAGTCCATCTCTCCCTCGTCTCCTCATTTCACCTCCATCTCCTTTTGCAGATTATTTTCTCTTTCCATGCTAACTCACCCCTTTATCTTTTCTCCTATTTGACTTAGATTTCCCATATCCATTATATGCATCCTGCTGTGTTTTCTCAGTACTTGTGAAGTGTCTCGCACCATCATTAGTTGCGTTGTGGCTCCAAATCATGAAGCCACCAGCAATATATTCCTCCCCCGGGGTAACAGGGATTATTTAAACAGCATACAGGGGCACTAAATTACTTGTTATAGCATGATACTAGGTAGACAGACCACAAGGGCCACCAGTTTATTTTATGGTTATACAGCAAGGTCCACACAGCACAGCTCCTACCAGCATAGAATAATATTCATGTAAGCGCATAGACGGCAAATTATTATGTTTCAGGACCAAACTTTAGGTTACTTATACTTATGCTGACAGCTATTGCCCCCCACAGCCACACCAGCTACACTCACAATGCGTTACAGCTATGTGCCCTGTGAATGTTACTCTCACATTGTTTTAATGTTATATGCCAAACGATTGACAACTTCATTAATGCCAATGTTATTCCTAGCATATTCCAACTTATAAACAAAAGTGTGCAGCTTTTTGTATTGCCACTGTGACAAAACTGATGATCAAACCATGCATGCTGTGGTGGCACTTGACACATGCCTGTAACTACCTCTGCACAAAAAAAAAAAAAAAAGAATAAAAAGAAACTGCAAGGAGCACAACTACTACATGAATCCAACGATGCGGCCTGAGGCGCACTGGATGGGGGAGGCGGCTGATCTCTCGGCCCGGAGCTGCTCGAGGGCAAACAGTGCATAGGAACCCTGTTACCCCCCCTTTCCCCCCCAGACTGGTGGGGGTGATCCCGGTCCACTCCTGGGAGGCTACGCAGACATAGCAGGAGCTAGAGGCAAAGCCACGGCAGTCACTACACCTGCAGCGACACAACCAAAATGGCAGACGCAGAGTTGTCCCCCTGGTCCAGGCTGGACAAGCTACTTAACAATTTTTGGAGCAAATCACACAACAGAAGACCACAGCTGCGACACCGCGTCGAGCCCTGACATGGCGGCGGAGCAGGAAACATGCCACACTGAGACGCACAACTACCCGTCCACGAAAGGGCAAAAGCTTACCTCAGAGCCGCCCTCCAAAGCCAGAAATGATACCAGAGGAAGAGGCTCTATCCCAGTGGCGGATCATACACAGTACCTCCCACAAGCTCAGGAACAAGCAGCAGCACGAACCCGCGGTGAAAAACCCAGCTTGGAAGGCGCGCAAGAAGCAAAGGCTTTTGAAACTATCAGTAGCACGGAGGTGGGAACCAACAAGGCGCAAACCACAGCCCTGCATCAAGCAAAACAAGTCACGGAGACCTTGAGAGTGGCTAGAGCTGCATAAACAAAGTGATTTAACTCTTAAATGGCAGAGAATTGGGAATTGCAGTGAGACTGCAGGGGCATGATCAATACACCAAAACTGTTTCATTAAGCTAAAGTGTCCCTTTAAGATACAAAATGACTACCATTGTCCACTGTATCAACAACTGCTAAAAACATCCTCAGAGGTATTCTTGATATGATTTGCAGACCACCATTGACTTTTTAAACACATTGCTTTTAAACCAAGAACAAACTAATTTTATCCTTGAAGAATTATACTTCTGGTAGAAAAGTGAGAATAAATAAGGATGGTTATAAGTGGCACTTCCTTAAGGCGATGTTTGTAATTTTGAAAGGCAATGAGGTTTTTGGGTTATTCTTCACCTCCTGTGATAAAATGGCAGGAGCAGAAGGCATCCTCTTCAGGAAATCTTCTAAAAAAGAAGGATCAAGTCTCTGGATTGCTGGATGTGAATGTATACATCGGGGGCTATCAACACCATTCCTCGGAAAATCCTTCCTTTTCATTATTATTGGTGGGTCACAATTATGACTGACGCCTCTGGAAATGGTTGCAGAGCTCATCTGGATTTACGTTTCATACAAGGGAAGTGATTGCTGTATGAAAAAGGATTTTGCTTAAATGTTAAAGGAACACTATGGTATCAGGAACACAAACATGCCTTCCTGACTCTATAGTGTTAAAACCACTATTTAGCGCCCCTTAAATATAGCAAAATCTTACTTTTATCCACTCTGCTGCTGCTGGCTCTGTCCCTGATCTTCCTGCTTGGTTGACATCATCAGAAGTGGTGTTCTGAGCCAATCACCATGCTTTCACATAGGAAAGCATTGGATTGGCTGAGACTGTCAAGGAGACAGATCAGGGGCAGAGCCAGCACAAGCCAAACACGGCCCTGGCCAATCAGCATCTCCTCATAGAGATACATTAGATCAATTGAGAATTTATAGGGAGAGCATGTCATGTTACCAGCACCTACTTCTCTGTAGGAGGACCCCTAAAGTAGTTGTCTGGTCCCAACACAATATTGGTTACATCAGGACTCCTTCCAGCTCAATCCCAAGAGACTCTACAATGTGTGTGTGGCGGTAATCATCTTGCCGCCTGAGCCATTGCTGAGCCTGACGCTGACTGAGAACACTGGACCAGACTGTGGGGAGCACCGATGGAGTGGCAGCCCTCGCCGGTCCGCTCCCAGGGCACAGCGGGCACACTTGAGCAGGTAAGTGCAGATGGGCTTCATGACCACAAAGAACTGGTTCCCTTGTTTTGTTAAGCAGTTGTTCATCCTGTATCATAAAATAGTCAAAGAGATAGCTTCATTTAAATCTTTGGCAAAGTGGATCAAAAAAAAAATCACATTCACTTCTTATTCCATGGCGTAAATCTCCTCCTTTAGGAGGTACAGTTCATTCCATCAGAGCTAATACTATGTCTTGGGTCATGATCTGTGCAATTCCAGAGCCAATTTCCATGGTGGCCTCTTGGTCCTCTCTACAAACGTTTGCTAAAATGGCACTTATGTGTCATAATCATTGCTAAATCCCAATGTAAGTACTGCTAAAAATATGATAAAAATTCTGAATATTGCATACATTTTCTCTCCCTATTTAAACAAATATTTTAGTCATGTCTTGTGTTTGATTAGGTTGGCTGTGTGAATACTGATATGATATTAACTAAATGGGAAGGCTGGGTTGTATAAAAAAGATTTTAAAGTCTTGAAAGTTATATGTCAAACACTATGGCCTTGATTTAATATGGTTGGATAAGCTTTTCAAATTATTTCATATATTTGGTTAAACTTTTAAAATGTTTTTTTCAAAACATTTAAATATAAAAAATATATCATACATCAAAAACAATAAAAATATTTTACAAAAGTAAAATAATTTTCATAATATTAAATCACAGAAAACCTAGAATATGATGGCAGATAAGAACCATTCGGCCCATCTAGTCTGCCCAATTTTCTAAATACTTTCATTAGTCCCTGGCCTTATCTTATAGTTAGGATAGCCTTATGCCTATCCCACGCATGCTTAAACTCCTTTACTGTGTTAACCTCTACCACTTCAGCTGGAAGGCTATTCCATGCATCCACTACCCTCTCAGTAAAGTCATACTTCCTGAAATTATTTTTAAACCTTTGCTCTCTAATTTAAGACTATGTCCTCTTGTTGTGGTAGTTTTTCTTCATTTAAATATAGTCTCCTCCTTTACTGTGTTGATTCCCTTTATGTATTTAAATGTTTCTATCATATCCCCACTGTCTCGTCTTTCCCCCAAGCTATACATGTTAAGATCCATTAACCTTTCCTGGTAAGTTTTATCCTGCAATCCATGAACCAGTTTAGTAGCCCTTCTCTGAACTTTCTAAGGTATCAATATCCTTCTGCAGATACGGTCTCCAGTACTGCGTACAATACTCCAAGTGAGGTCTCACCAGTGTTCTGTATAATGGCATGAGCACTTCTCTCTTTCTACTACTTATACCTTTCCGTATACAACCAAGCATTCTACTAGCATTTCCTACTGCTCTATTACACTGTCTGCCTACCTTTAATGGACCACTATAGGCACCAAGACCACTTCAGCTCAATGAAGTGGTCTGAGTGCCAGGTCCCCCTAGTTTTAACCCTGCAGCTGAAAACATAGCAGTATCAGTGAAACTGCTATGTTTACATTGCAGGGTTAATCCAGCCTCTAGTGGCTGTCTTCTGCAATTCTCAGTGAGTAAATTGCACTGAAATGACGCTGAACGTCCTCATGGAGTCCAGCATCAAATAAGATCCCCATAGGAAACATAGAAACATAGAATGTGATGGCAGATAAGAACCATTCGGCCCATCTAGTCTGCCCAATTTTCTAAATACTTTACTTAGTCCCTAGCCTTATCTTATAGTTAGGATAGCCTTATGCCTATCCCACGCATGCTTAAACTCCTTTACTGTGTTGATTCCCTTTATATATTTAAATGTTCTATCATATCCCCCCTGTCTCTTCTTTCCTCCAAGCTATACATGTTAAGATCCTTTAACCTTTCCTTGTAAATTTTATCCTGCAATCCATGAACCAGTTTAGTAGCCCTTCTCTGAACCCTTTCTAAGGTATCAATATCCTTCTGCAGGTGCGGTCTCCAGTACTGCGTACAATACTCCAAGTGAGGTCTCACCAGTGTTCTGTACAATGGCATGAGCACTTCCCTCTTTCTACTGCTAATACATCTCCCTATACAACCAAGCATTCTGGTAGCATTTCCTGCTGCTCTATTACATTGTCTGCCTACCTTTAAGTCATCAGAAATAATCACCCCTAAATCCCTTTCCTCATATGTTGAGGTTAGGACTCTATCAAATCGAGTAATGCTTTCCTATGGGCGCGTTTGAATGCACGCGCGCCTCTGGCCGCGCATGCGCATTCGGCTACACTCGGGAGCTGACATCAGCAGGGGGAGGAGAGGTCACCAGCACCGAGGGACATCGACGATGGATTAAGGTAAGTGGCTGAAGGTGTTTTAGCCCCTTCAGCCCAGCGGGACTTATCCACATTAAATTGCAGCTGCCACAACTCTGACCATTTTTCTAGTTTAACTAAATCATTTGTCATTTGGCTTATCCCTCCTAGAACATCAACCCTGTTACATATTTGTGTATCATCTGGAAAAAGACATACCTTACCATCAAGACCTTCTGAAATATCACTAATGAAAACATTAAAGTGAATGGGTCCAAGCACAGATCCCTGAGGTACCCCACTGGTGACAAGCCCATGCTTTGACAATACTCCATTGACTACAACCCTCTGTTGCCCGTCATTCAGCCACTTCCTTACCCATTCAACAATATTGGAATCCAAACTTAAATATTGCAGTTTATTGATAAGCCTTCTATGTGCAATTACTGCCACAATCGTGTAAAATTACGCCAAATTCATATTCGATATACCTATGAATTTTACAAATGCTTTAAAAGATAACTTAGAATGTTGTAGTAATATCAGCTTTTCTGATTATTGTGCATGCTTGCATTTAAATCTTCACTTTGATCTTTAACATGCCTTGAGAGTTTCATTATTTTAAAAATAATGTTTGCTGTTTCTAGGCAGAGAAATTTGGAGACTCGTTTGTGTTTGAAGGTTTGCTAAGTGAAGAGGTCAAGAGTGGCATTGATAAGGCCGTAAGTAAAAACAAATTTTTCTTTTATATTAAAATATAATAATAATAAAAAAAGCTAAACAAAACCTATTAATTGTGCTGCTCTAAGCTGGTTGGGGGTGTTTCACAGAGAAACAAAAAGCTTACCTATACAATAAGGTCTATTCCCCGTCTATGGATATGTAGATGGTCCTTGGATGTCCTCAAACGGGGGTCTCCAAAGGTAGTAGTAGGGTACTTCTCCTTTCTAATAGCAGTGGGCCGGTATTGGATTAGTTGGTGATGTATAAAAAACAGGATAGAAACACAAAATAGTGCTCTCTGGATGATACAGAATAAAATGATAAAAGATGGAGGTATACTCACAAGTGAAGAGAAAATGGGATATTGCTCAATATATGTAGGCGTAGGTGGTATGATCCCCATCAAGGATGTCACTCCTCGAGTCCTCCAGTGGGGGTGTTGGAGAGAGTTGAAGGGAACTGTATTTAAAATAGAATAAAAGAATAGCCTTAGAGGCTCCAATAGCATAAAGCCTCTTTGCAGGAGAAACGTGTTAGTGATTTTAAAGCTGTTTTATGTTACTGATTTTTTTGGGTGGTATAGCGAGTAGGGGCAGAATTTACTAATACTAAGTAATCTTTACTCAGTATTAGTAAATTTGGCTGAAAGACCAATTTAGATCTTTCAGCCTTTTGGTAGATAGCTACCTGATACCATGGGAATTAGGGAGTTATCTACTAAGCGGCTGCAAGATGCAGCCACGGCACGAATAGGATCGGAGTTTCATTCATTCGAATGAAATTACGATCTGAACAAAGTCCCGAATTGCGTCCTAACACGAATGGAGAAACTGTTCTCATTCTGTTAGGAATATATATGACAAGACGTTCGGGAAAAGTGAAAGGAGGCTTCGCAGGAACACGGAGGAAAGGTGAGAATTGTGGGAAAATTGCTCTGACCATCGGAAATGAAGCACACTTTGCCCCTCCGCTGGTCAGGCGTGGAAAAATCTCCATAAGGCAAGAAGTCCCTGCTTTGTCTTATGTTTTAAAAAAAACTAGAGCAGACAGGAAGAAATGAATAGCAGATCATGAGAGAGGGAGAGAAGAGGAAGCGATTAAAGAAAGGAAAGTTTGGCATGACAGTGCCGCTTTAAAACACCATGGGGAAAGGCTCCTTCAATAGGAAGAAAAGGAAAGCAAAACAAGAATCCCACTGGTAGTTACCTACAACCCAACTCTAGAAGGAGTGCATTCAAATATTAAAGAGCCACAGCTGTTAATCTCAGAGAACCCAATTCCTGAGCCCACCATACCAGCATTCAATCACCTACCTAACCTGAGACAAAGATTGGTCCGCAGCAAATTGACCCTAGAACAGGAGCTGACACAGAATGGCACTGTAAAATGCAACAAATCACTCTGCAGACTGTGCCAACATATATGTGGCAATAACACAGCCAGACCACAACAAAACATACAATACTAAGGGATCAGATTCGTGCACATCTGCAAATGTGGTGAACATGATACAGTGTAGTGTGACAAATGTTGTTACATTGGAGAAACTGGCCTTAAGCTGCATTTCCCAATGAAACAACACAATCACTCAATCAAGAACCAGAAGGAAAACAAATCTTGTACTCTTGTTGGTCATCACTTAACCAAGACTGATCACTCCATCCAAAACCTCAAGATTAAAGTTCTTAAAGGGAATTTTAAAGACTCACGAACGGAAGACATTTGAGATGAAAATTATCTCACAATTCAACGCCATAAATGAAGGACAAATCTATAACTAATCACCAAAGACTTCATGGATACATCGTTGCACTTTTACTATGTGTGGTAATTAGCTATAGATTCGGTTCCTACTTTATGACCGGACTTTGATGTGGGTTGCTCTCTGCGTTGGGAGTTGCACTCCCAGGTACCGGATGCTCAATCTCTGAGGTTGCTCTCATACATTATATATAAAAAGTTGCTTGGGCACATATTGAGACCACTACTCTTCTATTAATATCAGATGAACACCTCAAGATTTCTCTCCCCTACCGCCTCTATATGTTTTTACATTGTATATTTTTCATTAACAACACTTTCACATCTTCACTGGTGCGTTACCAGCATCATGACTGTAAGAGAATTATGGGAGATGTAGTCCATAACATCTGGAGTGCCAAAGGTTGCTTACCCCCTTTTCTAGGTAAATGGATCTTTAGCAGAAGAAACAAAAATGGAGGATAGCACAGAATTCTGGGCAATATTCACATCTAGGAGCGGATTACGAGAGTAAATGGAAAAGTGTGTTTTTGTTTGAGTGGCAGCAAGCTGCAGGTGTTTTTGCGCATTTATATAATGGTTAATTTACTGATTGTCTGTCTGCTCTTTGGAGTGGGTGAACAGATATGCTACACTATGGCTGCCATGACAGGAGCAAGATTTGAATGCCTGCTTTTAAAAAAAATTATTATTTTCAAATATTGTGCGATGAGCGAGGTGTCAGTTTATTTACATATGTGTACGATCTAGGGTACATGCTTTTATATCTATATTACGCAGATATGTCTGTGGTACTGGCTAATCTATCTTTAGTTGTAACATAGCAACCCCGTGGGGTCTTCTGTGCATACCATCTTTTTTTATCTGCTTGAATTATATAAAAATCCTTTTATTACAGCAGTATTGTCTGGAGCATGTACATGTCTTGTAATAAGTGTCTATAGCACCACAAGCTGTTTTTAAACCTGTTATTTATATTCTGTGTCCATGGAAACAGATCAAAAGACAGGAGTGTAGGATGTTAGACATCTGCCCTTTGTGTATGTGTCAAGATCTGAGATTGTCTTACAAAAGGCTGACCATTATCAGCAATGACCAGAGCTCCTAGCCAGTGACAAAAATAAATGCCAGGATAAACATAGTAATTCAGTTGATGCATTAAGAACTGCAATTGTGTTGCTGCCTTTATTTTTTTAGGAAGAGAAGTTACTATTTTATTTTTAGATTAGAAGAAAAAAAAACACCATTTACTGTCATAGTGATTGGAATATATTGTTTATGTCTGATGCCTAACCTTTGGCAAAAATGTATATTAATAGAAATATATATAATTATTTTTTATGCTCTCCATACTGTTATATATTCAATGTTTGGAGGCTAGTTATATTCTGACATTGTCATGTTCTGACTACATGAATGAACACTAATATGCAATCCAGTTGCGCAGTAGCACAATGCGACCGCTTCCTGCGTTCCCAAAAGATCAGAATCTGAAGAATGCAAAAGATAACAGCCCCAAACTACTGCCATTACTTAGGCAGATGCTTATTGAGTCTGACAACTTGAAAACAAATTCAGCCAATAATGCTTCCTTAGGCCACCATAGATTGCTGACATTCACGTCTATTCAGCATGATCTACGAAGCATAACAAAGATAAGATAAATCTATGTACACATACATTCAAACACCATTAATAAAGCAAATATAAAAAAGGATGATGGCGCTCAAACAATATAATAAGTCCGGTGCAGCTAAAAAAAACACTGTCACATGCACACCTATTGTAGATACCACTTAATAAAACAAAACAAGGTGATATTTATTTACCTCTGGTGGTGCGTTAAGTAGCATAACAATTCTTTATTATACACTTTATAGCACACAACTATATAAAAGACATAAGAAACCATCATGGTGTAGTATATAAAAATAAATTTAAAAAAATTCCAGTAAATCGGAAAACTCCCAATTCTCAGAGCATTATAAAGTCAAATGATGAAATTCACCATCAGGCTCTATCACCTTGTTTTATTCTATTCAACCACCATTCTCATATTGATATCAAGCAAAAGTACTTTGAAATATAGTTGCATTTTAAATAAGGAAGAAGAACGTGGAAATTTACCTTGTGTAAGATATTCTTGTGCTATAATTAACACTCCCTTCTGTAAAAGCTACAAACCATATTACCTAAAGAAAGAATTCTAAAGATAACATTTTGTGAGCCTCAATTTCAAATCATTTTAATGGCAATGCCATCCTTTTTTGCAAAATGATATCCGGGTGTCTTATCATGGGCTGCCAGATCATCATGTTTTCCTAGGCACATAGCCATTGTGCGGCTAATGGAAAGTGCATGAAAAGTGCTGCCCTGTAGTACGTAGCTTTCTTCTGCTGCAAGAGGCAAATCCGTTAAGGCAGTTCCTATTGGACCCCTCCTTGTTTGTTCCTTTCTTCACTGCTATAGCACTAATGTGTACATGAAAATATAGTGAATCTGGGAAGTGTATTACATGTATTGCATTGTTTCTGGAGCTTCACAGCCCTCACAGTTAATATTGAATTCTTTTGTTTAAGCAAATAATGCCCTTAGTTCTAACTGTTCGAGATGGCTGCTATTGACAGATATTTATATACGAGTGTCTACACACACATACACATTAACTTCCATTTGATTTTGTGCTGTTTTATGTCTAACAGATCGGTTCCTGTCCTCTGGCTATAATTTCGACACTTCACATTTCTGTTTGCTGCACTTGAGTGGCACTCTGAAAAACTTGGATTAAATGTAGCGTACATAGGGGGCCCACATCTCCCAGCTAATTATCATTTGTGCTAATTAGGTGGAGAGCAATTATAATCCTTGATTCTGCCGGGAATTGCTGAAATCTGCATTAGTCTGCACAGTTAACGCATTCCTTTCTGGTACCCAACAGAGCTTTGCCAGTCATGCAAGGAAAAGGTTAAACGTGCAGAGGACACAATTGTAAATGGTTATTGACAAAAACATCTGTGAAAAATTGGCAAAAATACATTTTTGCTGATTTTTCCACAAGTCAAAAAATAAATGATTTTTTATCCATTTTACCAAAGTATATATCTTTTGAATTGTTGCCCTAATTTTTCTTTAATTTTGGATCGCTACAGCATTTGGTAAATGCTTTTATTAATGTCCTTGAGATGTGTGTTTGTGTGAAAGCCGAGAACTCTAGAATCAGATTTCTGTCCTTGAAATGTCTCTAACCAGGAAATGGTGATTCAGATTTCTTTCTCCTCAAGATTGTTTAAAACTGTGTTTTTCTGCTGAAGGGAAATTTGCGCTCCATTTGCTGGCGAGAATAAAGAATGCACATGACGCGTGTCCTTTTCATGCCTGACATAAAGGGAAAATTTACAGTGACATGTTTTATGACAATGTGTCTTCTTTTCAGGTAGCTGCTGCACCCTGGTGGCTCCCTGTGAAAGGTGCTGACTGGAGACACCCAGAAGGTCCAGACTCGAATATCTCTGACAGGTAATGCATTCATTGGAAAAGGATACTTGGTCATAAAGCACAAATTAGCGGGGTATTTTACATAAACACTTACGGCTTTAACACTGGCTCATTTGCCTTTTCCTATAAAGAAAACAAATATCTCTCAAATAAGTTGTATAGAAGCATTTATAATTTAAATATTTGAGCACTTTTTTTTAATAGAACTACAGGTTTTTTTATTTAGCAGTCTCTTAATACAATCTTTTTACCACGAAATGTAAAATTTCAGTTTAGAGTTGTCAAACGGGAAAAAATTGCTACTTTTCGAGCTTGTGCATATTTGTCCTAATATGTCAAATTCCCTGTTTAATTAGTGACGCTGCGGCCAGACTGAGACATAAATCGTCATGGGCACGTTTTGGCATTGAATCATGCAGAGTAGCTAACTCACCCCCTCTTACCTTTCTGCTCTCTCACTAGCTCCCATTGATGGCTGCAAATAAAGTGTCAGGTGTATTTAAACTTGCGCTGCACTGTTCACGGGGTCCTGATAATTTCGTTTCATTGCAACCTGAGCTCCCAGTGTAACAAACCGCATTGGCCTTCATGACTCCTTCACATCACGTTTAGCAAATGGCAATAGCAGGGGAAAAAGGAAAGCATGGAGGGCCTATATATAACCCAGAGACAAGATAATACATAAATACAATGATTTTATTACATTCTTGACGGATCACTTCTGCTCCTGCACAGGCTGGATCATCCTGTTTTGCATGTATCCTGGAACGATGCCTCCGCCTACTGCGCCTGGGTAGGAAAACGCCTTCCAACAGAAGCTGAATGGGAGTATGCCTGCCGTGGAGGGTTGGAGAACAGGTGCGTAGGACTTCCTATATGTACTAACCGGTCTAGTATGAAAAAAACAACAGGGTTGTTTTGTATTTGACCACTCTTAAGGAACAATAATAACTATATTATCAAGATGATTAAACTGTATAAATGTCATTTTCAGGTATATTTGTGACCTAAATGTTATGACTCAACCCATTGGTAGTCATTGACCTTGAAGGGTAGAAAGGATGTCATCCAATGCTAGGCTGACACAAGGCGAACATTGCCATCTATCCTGCTTCTGGATGAATATTCCTTACAGTTCCCACAATTTGCTATAATCTCCTACTTGTCCATAGTTCTAACTAACATCTGCAGTCTATCATATTCATAAAATATGCAAATGAAGCTTTGGCAAGATAATAGAAGCTGACAAATTAGCTTACACACTAGTTTAATTTGTCTCTTTTTGTGAATACATTTACAAGTGAGTGCTTAAAGGGACAGTCTAAGCACCATAGCAACTTAATCTAAATTAAGTTTTTATGGCGTAAGGATGACACCAGGCTCACGCTAACCTCAAGGGGTTAAAACATTTATGAATGGTTTAACCCCAAAGCTGACTCCAGTGTCGATCTTGGCTTCCCCCCCAAGCGGGATCCGTTTTTTTTTTTTTTTTAATTTCTGTTTCAGGCAGTGTGGAGTGCTGCCTGGCAGAGCCGCCGCTAATTATTTGAGTACAGTCAGTTGACACACTCAGCCAATCACTGACTCCTCTTTTGCTAAACTGGCTTTTAAATGGTACGTTTCATTCCATGCCAGTTTTGGGAATGTGGAGTCACTGATTGACCGCGTCAGCTGACCGTTCTCAGCCAATCAGCAGTGCCCCTGCTTGGAGGCTCTCTGTACTTCCTGAAAATGTAATTTCAGAAGCCGGATGCCATCTGAGGGGGGGAGCGCAACTTTTGGGGCTAAACCATTCAAAAATGGTTTATCTCCTCGAGGTAAGAGAGCGCCGGGCCCTCTTGGCACCAAAACAACTTTTTGTTGTTAATTAGATTAATTTACATTTAATTATTTATCTTATAAATCCATGCTGGTCATGGGTTTATGGGGATATTCTTCCCACAGAACAATGAGAAGGTCAGGATTGACTGAGAAATATGCACTTTCCTTGTTTCTTTCTTCTGGGGGGAAAAAAAGAGAAGGGGTTTAGAAGCCAAGCCGTCCTAGATTGCCCCCTCAAAACGAAACATTGAAACAAAGCCTGTGGAAAAACAGCCCTTTTTCAAGGCTTGCCCATCTGTGCTCAGAGTACATTAATGAAATCCTATCTTGGGCCCATGCTGTGTTTTGTAAATTATATGCCTAGACCTTTCCGTTTTATTTCATGCAGAGAGTAATGTTTTTGTTTGATACCATTAATGCAACTATTGTACAGCATAAAAAACCTTTGTCATCTTACACTGCGTAACTGTAAAATCTGTCTATTCAAATGTAATAAGATTCTTTATCAGCATTAATATATTTGGTATTAGAAGCATTCACGTGTCTCGTAAGAAGATAAAATCACAGAAACCTTATTTTTCTCTGAGAAAGGAGCGTCATGCTCCGACTGCACAGAATTGTGATTATGCGATTAGAATGCCTAAAATAGAAGTCTTTAATTCTCAAACAAGCCAGAAAGAGCTGCTTGTTATTTCCATAATAGCAGAAGGCATCCTATGTGTGCTTACTTACAGATTGTGTTTGTGATAAGATGGTTAAAAAAAACTTAAGGATGTAGCTCGGCGCGTTTTTGTTTTCAAAAAAGTATGTCTTATGTGTTATGGTCTTGCCTTGTACTTGCACTTTCTTCTGCTTCAACAAGTCCTGCATTTCCGAGAAAAGAGATCATAAATAAGGCAGGGGGTTACAGAGGGGTAAAAACCAAACTTGATGCTTTCAGACTGGCTTTAGAAAATATCTATATTTCATATTGTGCTTCTTCGTCTACACATATGCTAATGGTACAACTTATGGTAGACACCTCAGGTACAAGTGTATGACAATATGTATAAAAATTGATGTGTTCAGAAAAGTAGTCTAAAGTACTCCACATGAGCAATCACCATGGAAACCAGTGCAACCAGCTGATGCATTCCAATGGTAATTCCACCACTTTTCAGAGCACGACTCCTTTATACACAACACACATACATAACTTTTATTTTTAGATCTATTCATTCACTAAGTATTCTGCACATTCCATAATATTACATAGAATTTTCAGGTTCACAAATTCTGCTTCTTTGTAAAAGCAGAACAATCTATTAAAAACATTATATGTAGTAATATAAAGTATCAAAGGATTTGGTTTTTTTATATCTTTAATACTCTATGAAATCGGCAAATGTCTATACCTGGAAAAACAAAAGAGAGTCTGCACACACAAATTTGCAATTTTCTTTTAAAATTGCTCGAGTTTAATTAAAAGCACCTGTCTCATTTAAAGCGGCACAGTCATGCCGAACTTACCTTTCTTTAATCGATTCCTCTTCTCTCTTTCTGTCAGGATCTGTTCTTAATTTCTTCCTGTCTGCTCTAGTTTTCTTTAAAATCATAAGACAAAGTAGGGACTATTTGTCTTATGGAGGTTTCCTACGCCTGACCAGTGGAGGAGCAAAGTGTGCTTCATTTCCGGTTCTCCATACGTGTTAGGACGCTATTCGGGACTTTGTTCGTATCGGAATTTCATTCAACTGAATTAAACTCCGATCCTATTCGTGCTTAGTAGATAGCTCCCTAATTCCCAAGGTATCAGGGAGCTCTCTACCAAAAGGCTGTAATACCTAAATTGGTCTTGTAGCCAAGTTTACTAATACTAAGTAAAGATTACTTGGTATTAGTAAATATTGCCACCCCCCCGAGCGGTGGGTGTTGGCCCTAAATAAAAGTAAGAGGGCGGGAGGCCTATTGTCCTCCCCTCTGGCTCCCTGAGCAGCAAGTGGGGGCCCTAAATGAAAATGAAGCCCCTCCAGGTGACTAGGAGTCCCCAAGCCCCTAGTCACCCCCCACCCCAAAACAAATTAATAAACCCCTACCTATCCCCCTCACCCTAAAAATAGTGAGGGGAAATAAGACAACTAAATACCTGTAAAAAAAAAAAAAACTTACCCCAAAAAATCCCAAATGGTGAAAAAGTAATCCATCATCACCCAGCGAGGGCACGGTGCAGACTGAGCTCCGCAGGGCGGGGAAAGACTCATAATGCCTTCCCACCCGCTGCGATGTAGCTAAGAGCGCTCTTACTGGTTGGTTTAAGCCATCCAATTAGTGCTCTCAGGTAAATGAAGAGACTGACATGGAAAATCTCTACATTTACCTGCCACAGCACTCTGGTTGGCCTGAAATCCAACCAATCAGAGTGCTCTGTGTCATTTTACACAGCGTGGGAAAGTTCTTTGGAATTTCCCCATGCTGTGTAATTTGACTCATAACGCTCTTATTGGTTGATTGAAAGCAACCAATCAGAGTGTTGTTATGAGAGCACTCTGGTTGGATTTTTCAAGCCAACCAATCAGAGTGCTGTGGCAGGTAAATATAGATACTTGTTTTTTAATTTTTTAATTTTATTTTTGCGCTCAGGTTTTTTATTTTATTTTCAAAGTGTGAAGGGTATTTTATTTGGCCTTTTTGGGGGCTGAAAAAAAGAAGACATCACATGGTAAGTTATATTTATTTTTTTACAGGTATTTAGTTCTCTTGTTCCCCCCTCACTTTTTTTAGGGTGAGGGGGATAGTTAGGGGAATATTAAAAATTTTTTGGGTGGGGGGTGACTAGGGGCTTGGGGACCCCTAGTCACCTGGGGAGGGGGATTTAACATTTTCATTTATGGCCCACTGAGGGGGGGAGAACAATGGGGTCCCCACCCACCGCTCAGGGATGGGGGCCGATGGGCGAACAATAGTCCCCTCACACATTTTCATTTAGGGTCCCCACCCGCCGCTCAGGGGTGGGGGCTGGGGGGAGGGCTATAAGTCCCCCCCCCCTTATTCTTATTTAGCGCCCCAGCCTGCCACTCGGGTGGGAGGACAAAAGGTCACCCCCACATTTTCATTTAGGGCCCCCACCTGCCACTCAGGGGTGGGGGCTCGGGGGGAGGACAATAGCCCCCCCCCATTGTCATTTAGGGCCCCCACCCGCTGATCAGGGGTGGGGGCTGGGGGGTGGTAATAGCCCCCACTCACGCCGCATGGGTGGGGACTCGGGAGGGGGGATACTTTTTTTTTAGTGAGCAGTAAGTTAGTGAATTTGGCTGAAAGACCAATTTAGGTCTTTCAGCCTTTTGGTAGATAGCTCCCTGATTCCTTGGGACTTAGGGAGATGTCTGCTAAGTGGCTGCAAATGGCAGCCACAGCACGAATAGGTTCGGAGTTTCATTTATTCTAATGAAATTCAGATACGAACAAAGTCCTAAATTGCATCCTAACACTAATTGAGAAACTGTTCTCATTCTGTTAGGACGCAATTCGGTAGTTTCGCTGACGTTCTGTCTAAAATGACAAGACATTAGGGAAATGTGAAAGGAGGCTTCGTGGGAACACGGAGGAAAGGTGAGAATTGTGGGAAAATTGCTCTGACCACCGGAAATGAGGCACACTTTGCTCCTCCGCAAGTCATAGCTGGTCAGGCGTAGGAAACCTCCATAAGACAAATAGTCCCTACTTTGTCTTATGATTTTAAAGAAAACTAGAGCAGACAGGAAGAAATGAAGAACAGATCCTGACAGGGAGAGAAGAGGAATCAATTGGGGAAAGGTAAGTTCGGCATGACAGTGCCACTTTAATCCTTTTTTAATTGAAGCCTAAATTAGAAAATGCAGTGGGTGTTTTTTATCCTCCATATTAAAATTATATTAGGGACCAGTATTGAGGTAATTTGAAGGTATGTGCTTTAAGCGAAACTGTGGGTTAAAAAGGGTAAACCCCCTATTTAATAATACATAAAAAAATTTAAAATGACACATGCCCTCGGGTGCAGGTAGACAGCACCTTAACCATGATGAGACTTAAATTCCATAAATTTTTGCCCTCTTGAGCATTTCTACTCATCATTGAGAAAACGCCCAATTGTTCTCTCTACTGATAGTAGCCGAATTGCGACTGCTATCCGTTTGCACACATCTTTTTTTCACTATTTAGTAAACAGTGTGCCGTTCAGCAGGATCATGAGCAGAGCCTTGCTGCTCTCTCTTCTCGGGGGAGATAGTTTAGACCTAGTTGTGTGAATGGTGTACCCATGCATGGCATGGTCAAAACTGAAAATGTTAACTCCCTGGTTGGCCGCTCTGAGGGATTGTCTAAAACCTGCAGAGATCTTTACAAGTAACAATAGTTCTAGTCTCAGAGAGCAGGCTCAATGCATCATCACCTTTTGGAATCATGCAAAATTGTGATGATGCATGGAGTGACCCTTTAACACAGTGTGGTCTAACCAAAACCCTATAGTTTGTACTTGAGACAGACATTTTATGTAAACTATAAGGATTTAATATTGCACGTTGTATGTGTTTACTCATTTTTGTATATTTTGTATACATTACTATTTTCAACAGTGCGAAAATAAAATATCTGTTTATTTATGCACAATAACAGCTTAAAATTTTTATATATAGTCTATTAAAAATAAAATCTGAAAACTCTGAAAAGTCTAAACTTAAGCCATCTTTATTTTCAGTAGAACTGAGAAAATCATGTTTACACCTAGCTCTAATATCCTTTGTAATTTTTCCCTTTTAATCTCAATATGTATGCTAACCAGATTTTTATTCTGCAAATATAAAGGCTTTTTCCATGGGGGAACAAGTTGCAGCCCAAAGGGGAACATTTTGCAAATGTCTGGCAAGGGGTTTTTCCAACCAACAACTCAGGAGAGGACGGATATGTGCAGACATCACCTGTGAGTAGCTAAACATATCTGTATCAGGCACGATATGACTGTCCCCAGCCTTTAGAAAACAAAACTCCTGCTCTAGTCTTGTTATAGACACGGATAAAATGTTGAGATTGATATAATAGTCTGTTTAATAGAGTGATTTGCACACAGCTTATAGATGCCAAACTGGCGGTAGTTGATATATAATTATATTGTTAAAGTCAGTTTTACTCTTTTTTTTTTTTTATTGGTTACATTATGATTAATTTATTTACCAACTGCGGTGTTAAGCACGGTTTGCCTGTTGATAATCGCCCTTCTTGTACCTACAATTCATCTATGGTACAAGAGGTGTCTGCAGAAAAAAATCTGTAAGGGTCATAACGCATTTAGGCACTTGAACGGTTAGAGACGGTTTAAATAATAGGAAAGTTATATTCCGGAGAAAGGGGGGGCACTTGGCTGCTCTCGCCCACTCTTACCCTCTGCTGCAGATGCCCATGTATGATACACCATGCATGCATTATTGATAGACCACTCGATGTGTATGCATGGATATTTTAATTTGTTCTCATCAGGTATTTTTGGCATTTTACAGGTGCAGTAACTAAAGTAGTTATATCCATAATAGAAGGGAATGACAACAGATAACATACCGCTAGAGCTAGGATAATGTGAAACAGGAGTTGACAACGTGACAATGCAAATTGATTTAGTTTATTAGCATAATGCTTATTTTAAAAGCTTTTGTTTTAATGTGAAATTGAAGTAGTGGATGGTGAAGCTTGGCAAAGTTCCTTAGTGTACTCCACATATTGCGGAAGAAATTACTAGCTCTTAGCCCAGATACAGCAACACATAATATATAATTGACACTGTGTAAGTGGTGTGCCAGTATGTGTCATTAAAGGGGCACTCCAGGCAGGTAAACAAGTTAAGCTTAAATTAAAGCTTATAAACTCAAAATACCTGTGGTTAGTTTCTTTTCTTTCAATTCTGTGTAGGTTTCCTGCAGCGCTGTAAAATGTTTTGCTGTTTTCAGCAGTGTAATCCAGCCTCCTTAGCCACCCCTCACTCACATTTCAACATGTTCCTGATTCCCAGTCTCTGAAAGAAATGTACCTTTTACAGCCAATGAAAATAGATTCATGTCTTATCTAGCGTAAGAAATGCTCACAGCACAGACTGAACTGCTGAGACACGGCTACAGCCCAATATGTGCTCCTCTCCCATCCCCCTGTAATGCAAGTAATAAGTTCTCCTCCAGCCGCTGTTAGCAAACCTCACTACTCAATGTTTACCCCTTCCCAATCAGCCAACCTCCCTACCCACAGTTAGCCCCTGCCCTTGACAGTCCCTGTCAGCCAACCTTACTACCCACAATTAACCCCTCCCCACCCAGTTCCTGTCATCCAACCTCACTACTCACTGTTAACTCCTTCCCTGCCAGCCAACCTCACCACCCACTGTTAACCCCTAGATATATATAGACACCTCTATCTCTAACCCCTATGTTAACCCCTACATATACATACACACATCTATCTCTAAGAGAGATATTGCGAGAAAGCTCTCTAGATATTTATGAGTTTGTCTCTTTATATTGTGTGTGTGTTGTGATATGTAAGTTCTAGTGTCTGAATGCTGAGAACTTGGCAGGCATTGTGGGCTTGTGTCGAGCTGAGTAATGCTCAGGCACTCCCAGTAAGGTGTGTCATTACGTCTTCTCATAGAGAATCCCTGGTCGACGGACATTGTGGGCGTGTCATTACTGATTCTCATAGAGAATTCATGGAGCATGGCCATTGGTGGACAGTCTGACTGAAATAAAGGAAGCCGGGAAAAAGCAAAGAGGGAAATGACATGCAATCAGGAGGAGGGTCAGAAAATATGATCAAAATAAAGATTAAAACCAGTACTTCTAACGCTCATTTTGACACTATTGGGGGGAGGGGAGCATTTAGTGACAGTAGGGTTAGTGTTGGAGGGGGGAAAGTATATGCGTATCTTTTTTTACCTATACAATTCCTTTAAAGATGGGGAGGATTTTACCTTGATGGTTAGAATGAGTAAGGGTACCGTATTATAGTGGTACCGGCTGTCCGTTTTAAAAAAAATTTTTTAAATTGTTTAATGAAAGACTATTTTGTCTGAAGGTTTCAACATAACTGTAGCAATCTGATAAATACATAAGAAGCTACAGTGGTCCTGGAGGAGAGGTTATTCCATAAAGCTTTTCTTTATCCTGGAGAAATGACCATGAACGTGTGACTTTTAAGCCTAAATAGCCACATTTAAAAAATAAATAAATAATTAATGTAGGCCCATTATATTCGAGCATTCTTCATGGAATATATATTCTCTTACATTATTCAAACCTCTCTAGTGAACTTATCTACTTCTCTTGATTTATTAAATTCTATTCAATTACTGATTCCAGAGATGCAGCCTTGGGGGCTAAATTTGCCCCTTCATAGACCAACCTGATATTTGAGTGGGAGGCCTTCCACATTTTTGGAGAGGGTAAATGGCAAGAAATTACATTATAAGTTGTTCTTTTTTTATATTCATTTTATTTTTAGATGTATTGATTATTAGTGATTTGTTTGGCGTGACAGTGTGTAGGAGGTCTAGCTAAATGGCTGTACCCACCACTAAAGATTGAAGAGGTCAAGTTACAGCATCATCTATCATGCTTGATAGAGAAACTTGTTTGCCATAAAATAAATGTTTTGTATGTTGCCTTCCACATGTATTTATTGCAGACTCTTTCTCTGATTTAACATACTATACCACTTCCATTGTACAGCATGTTAAATTAGAGAACTTTATTTTTTTTTCTTGCCTACTATAGTGATTGTTATTCATATCAGCTATTTCAATTGGTAAAACTACAGTTGACAGGCCTTTTGAGATTAAACATTTCCAGTAACAAGAGAAAATTACGGTGGATTTAGGGCACGCTCTCCTAGACGGAAAGTCTTGAGGATTTTTATTTGAGCTATTTAGGTTCCCGAGGGGGTATTCAATTTTGAATGGGAAGTATATCTATTTTTGTTAACTCTGGTGGGATTTGCAATGCATGTACTTAGAATTTGTTTGCATCGTTTAATTTATATGCAGCTATGATATTTTTAAGTACTATTCTATTTTTTTTTTTTAAATATATTGTACTTACATTTTCTAAAGTATACATTAGTTATGCAATTCAAATGTTAAGTAAATGAGCCTAAAATTGTATGCACACTTCTCAATTCACTTTTTATGTTTACACTATAGGGGGGTCACTGATAAGTTTCACAAGATGAAAATTGTTTAAGGCTATGGTGCTGTGTGTATGTTTTGCTAACATGCTACAGATATAAGACTGTAGAATTTAATATCTAGCTCATGACTGATTTGGAGCCATACCAACGTTTGAGTGGGTACCCAAGTGTGGTTTGATTCGTACGGTCTTATTCTGAGTGTTTGTTTGTACAGTGGTTTGATTATTCTGGGCTGTCTGGGAATTCCTGTAACTCTGCTTTTGTGCTTTGAAACTGGACTATTTAGGGCCTAAAATTAGCAATTTTCACAAATTAGTGTCTCAGTTCTTTATTATAGGTAATGAAGGAAATATACATATATTAGATACAGCCTTATTAGTGTGCTGTTGCCACGGGGCAAACTATTGTTCTGCAAATGTGAGGTGAAGGGGATAATTTGGATAGTAAAAAAAGCATCTCAGCAGCTGACATATTACATTTAGTGGACAATGAGCTGTTCTCTAGATTGTAAGCACATTTGGGCAGGGTCCCCTCCGCTTACTGTTCCCGTATGTCACACGGTATAGAATTAAATGTTTGTCTTGTTTACCTTTTATACAGCGCTGCAGATTATGTTGGCACTATATAAAATAATTGTAATTGTTCAAGAAAGTCTCATAAGGTATTAATCAAAAATACGCTGATAGCAAGGCTGTGGAGCACTGCATCTCTGCATGGAAGATATTGGGGAGTAGATATCACTACAGCTCCCATGAGTCACCACCAGCTTTGATTTGTAGTTAAGGATCAGCTGCGCTACCCTGATTGTATTAACCTGATCCAATATAAATGTATAATTCCTCTTTACAGGTAACCATGTTCCCTGCGAATGGCTATGGGCTGTATAATATGGTAGGAAATGCTTGGGAGTGGACCTCGGACTGGTGGGATACAAGTCACACAGCAGATGATGCCTATAACCCAGTGAGTGAACCTAATTCATTGCTCTATGGTATATGATTATTAGAGCTTTTGCAGCGGAGGAACATATCTTCTGTGTAGGAGCTGTGCGAAGTATGTGTCTGAATCACTAATTATTGCTTCAAAGCCTCTCTGCCCCCTCATTTCCTCTTACAGTGTCATGTCTATTGTCTGTACTTGCCAATGTGATAACCCTTTAAGTGTCATCTTAGCACACCCCCTTTATATTGACGGTGCTTATATAATTGCTTTGCGTTTTCAGTTTAGCTCTTTAGATTTGCAAGCTTTATACACTTCCATTAAACCTGGAATGTTTGCTGGATCAGGGCCCAGTTGACAAAAAGGCAGCTGCCTGCAGGTGTTTGTCTGAGACACCTTCCTCTCCAATACAAAATGCACTTTTATTACATTGGGGGAGGGTGGCTCTGCAATTGGCAGTCTCAACTGTGTGCCAGGCAGCAAGGGGAGTGCATGTTTTTCACCTCCATGATGTCAAGATATCTGCTTGTATGTCAGAACAGATACAGACTGAATGAGGATCCGTTAACAGCTGGCAGAATGGAATTATGGGTATGCATTTTTTTTCCCCAAAAACATTTTATTGAACGTAAATGTATTCCTATGTTTCATTTTGTGGTCACTTGAAATGTAACAATAATAAAGGAATTACAAAAGATTTTTCACAATATGCACGCGTCATTACTTCCAAGGACATACACAAGTAGTGCTGTTCATTCAGTAATAATGAAAGAAAAATGTAAACGGTAATGGAAAAATGTGTCTTATTGGGTAGAGATGAGGAGACTGGAGTAGATTTGTAGTAGATATAAAGCTGTTTTATGAAGTGCTAAGGTGTATGGAACATATAAAGAAAGGAAGCTCCAATGATTCTAAACACACAGGAATGTGACCTTGTAATAAATTGGGAATTGTATATTGAATCCAATACAACCTAACTGACAGGATGAAATACAATCAAAATGATAAAAACCTGGTGTAAACATTTTTTTTTTTTTTTTTGGCAACATTTTCCATTTCAGCTGCATATTATTGACACATGTAAATGCATACTTAGCCAGTGACTCCATTCTTGAATGTGTGTGCGCATTATTTTTGTTCATTGCATTATGGTAACTTTGCATACTCAAAAGAGCTCTTTAACATCTGTCTAATATGTGTGAGCACAACATATATATTAAATATGGAGCAGAGCTATATGCCACTTATTTATGGTGAAGGTTCCATTTAACAGGTTAATATGTTAACCTAAAGCACAATTTTAGTGTTGGATTAAAAGATATGCACTCTGTGTTCAGCAAGGGGTCTGATAATAAATGCATGTTATCTTCACACTTTTGCTTGGCTTTAAAGTTCTTTAACACTTTCGTCTGTAGAAACGTATGCCTGTAACATAAGTTCCTCCTGGAGTAGTCTCGATTCAAAGCCTTAAATAGATTGTGGAATGTTTGATTAAAAGTGTATGTAGGGGATGGCGGAGCCTGGCAGCCAAGCAGCCCAGATGTGCTCAACACGAGCTCACACGTCAGGGGACGATAAACGGGGGATTATACCCAGCCAAAGACAAATACAGACCGCAGACCACCATACCCACAACAGGGAGAGGCTGCGGCATCGAACGGTGCATCTCTCGAGCATCAGCTCAGCCATTCTGCCTTACCGAGGCTTACGGCCTACGCGAGGCTGGGTCAGGAGAGACGGCCGCTCTCCGGACACAGAAGCAGGGACTGATAACCTGGTGAAACATCCTCACCCCCCCACCCCACCCCCGAGGACCAACGGGGGTCATCCCGGTCCACACAAAGCGGCCTCACTCACCCTGTGGTTAGCGGGCAGCTGATACCGCACAGACCTGAAAGACGACACTGCCACCCAAAATGGCGGACGTACCATATCCACGAGGCAAGAGGTAGCAGCCGGCCGAACAAGACGCGTGCGCAGTGGTAGACCGCAAGTTACAACATTTTGACAAGATATTTGCTTGTTTCTGGTGGCGACTAAAGGTATGAGCAAAAGCAGCAGCTGGTGGTCAGACAATCAAACAGGAGCGAATAAGCGAGGATGTGCGCAGGGCCCCACCGGGCACAACCACCCGCCAAACACCCCTGCCACACATACCTAGCCCACCCAGGCAGAGAGCAGGCAAGGTCACACACCACAGACTCCCACTACAGAAGCAGAACCCCCTCCCCCCGGGAGGCAGATGACCACCCAGAACCTCAGCCGCTCCTCAGTGAAGAGGGACTCACACCTACTCCAGAGGACACAGATCCGGGGAAAAGCGATGCTAACCTCCAGGGAGGCAGAGGACGGGCGAGATGTCAGGCACAACCCACGCCTTGAACTGCCACAGAGACGCATCTAGGTCAACCCGTGAGCTCCCATGGACGGTCCCCCTCAGGACTTGCTGCTAAACTCCATCCCGCCGGTACCAAGACAGACGATAATGTGAAAAATGTGTCCTAGTTAATTTTATGTTTGGCCGATTTTTGGCTGCCTGCATCACCTGTAACAAAAATCAGAGGCGCTCCAGAGGTAAAACCCACTACTAGCCTGTTATCACATACCTAGCCAGTTACTTACACCCAGCAAACATGCCACGCAAGTTCGGTTAACAATAGAGGTCTAGCAGGGTCTCCCCATCTGGAAACTTATCTTACTAAAATCTCACATAACCTACGAACCTGCAGCAACCCAGGGGTTAAACCCGCTACACCACTCATGGGCGTAGTGCCCCTAATCTCACTGGGTAAATACAACCAGTACCTAGGTCTCCACTCCAGCCTGTAATCTCATATGACCAGCGCGAGTACGGAGTACCTACAGTCTAAATAATCAAACAATGAAGCCTGATAACCAACGCATATATGTTTATGATCCCGCATATATGTTAGAATAGAATCATATTATATGCCTGTTCATATCCTGAAATGTTTATCTACCTAACCTGTGACTTATTTCCTTCTTCGTTATAAAATATAAAATGGTGCATGTACTATCAGATACCTCTATTGTAAAGCATGACATTACGCATGAGGAATGCCGTTGGGGTACCTCATGCTCGCCTGTTATATTCTTCTGCACTGCAAAAATACAAAAAAAAAAAGTGTATGTAGGGAATCAAATGATTCTGTAGATGCTGGAAGCAGAATGTAGTTTATTTTATTAAAAGGCAGTGTTAATAGAGTATTTGTCTTTGCAGAACGGACCACCTTCGGGAACAGACCGGGTAAAGAAAGGAGGGTCCTACATGTGTCACAAGGTGAGCAATGTATTTAAACCCAATCCAAAGAAGAATTCTTACCTGATTGTTCATAGTTTAAAAGAAAGCCCTAAAGAAGCAATGGTGACTCCAATAATAAATGATTTCATAATTGCCATCACCGCTGCTTGCATTTGAACTTAAGAAACTGATGTTATGATCCAATGACTAAGAGTTAATGATGATTTGATGATTTGTTTAACAGACGACCATGTTTGAATGCAGAGTTATCTGTACACTTGTTACACAGTTTGTATAATTAAAGCGAATGTTCCCCTTCTTTTTATGGGTGTTGGCAAAGCAACCATATAGTCCTCTCCCTTACCGGCAAAACCCTCACAATCCGGTTTCACTATGAATGTATTCTACCTTGTTATTCTGATTCTTGCGTATGGGGCGTAGGTTGTTTCAGCACCACCGGACGGATGCTGGACATTTCTGTTGGGCAATCACCTTAACACAGCTTTGTCTGTTTCATTGTTAGTGATGAGACATTGGTGACAGTGGTATTTCACAGTGAGAGCACGCCAGCGTCCATAGGAAAGCATTATGAATGCTTTCCTATGTGACCGGCTGAATGCGCGCGCAGCTCTTGCCGCGCGTGCGCATTCAGCCGACGGGGAGGAGAGAAGGAGGATCGGAGGAGGAGAGCTCTCCGCCCAGTGCTGGAAAAAGGTAAGTTTTTACCCCTTGCCCCCTTCCAGAGCCGGGCGGGAGGGGGTCCCTGATGGTGGGGGCACCCTCAGGGCACTATAGTGCCAGGAAAACAAGTATGTTTTCCTGGCACTATAGTGGTCCTTTAATGCAGTTTGCAGTGATCAAGTGCAGCTAAGCTGTATATTTTATTTAAATTTATTTAATTTAAAGGTTGGTAGGTGGCTAGTTAGTGGAAACAATTACAAAAAGTTTTTTTACTTCAATGTTTTAGTTATTTAGTGTGAAATAAAGCAATGACTCTGTATATAGATAGGTAGATGAATTGTAATAATATGCTATTTTGGCTTCCAGAATAATCATAATAATGAAAATGCAAAGTTGTTTTACTCTTTATATCATTTTAAATACAAATATGCCTAAACAAGTCAAACATAACTCAATTTCAGTCCAGATTTGCTGAGATGTTTAACGCTCAAAAATAGTATCTAATGTTGAATTCTTTGTGAAAGTCAGATAGATAAGATTTAAAAAAATACATCTCCTCAAGATGCTCCAGGTAGCTGGTCCATTTTTCTAAACTTTGTGAAGGCATTTGCATTTGCATCAAGACAAGGATTGCCAACCTAATTCTACCTGCGTGCCCACGAAATAAAAAAATAAAAAATTGTCACCTTATTAACACCTTACTAAATAAAGGGTAAATCTGTTGTGTATAGTTTTTATACAAGGATCCTTTTTGTTCAATTTATTATTTTGTTTTCAGATTGTGGCCTGCAGCACATTCATAAACCTTTTTGAATGGGTTCCAGTAAAATCTTGCTGATACCCAGCTATTAAAGGCTGCATCGTCAGCACAGTGCCAAGATGAGCTTTTGGCAGTAAAATACACTGACAAAACAGGCATATAGTAATGTCGAGATGGCAGATTGTGGCTGCCTTATCTTAAAATAGGTAAAGGTAAGGCCTGCCAACATGGGTTTTATTCAGCTTTTTAAAGATTGCAACTTGCAATTCCTTTGAAAAACCTGAAATAATAAGTACCACTGGCACAATTTCAGGTCCAGGGACTGCTATTGGAAGATGGAACCGTAATATAGCTGCCATAGCCGGTTCAACTGAAACTTTGATGCACAACATGCAAACTTTGAAACCAGATTACACTCCATTATAATTTGATGAAATTAGACGTAACATAAATTCTGTGTGTTAGGTCCACTTGAAAACAAATAGAAAAATAATACAAGATACACAACATTCTTTTTAATACTTACTAAAATGTTCAAGTGCATTCTCTCACTTTAGAAAATTCTTTACTTGTGGGTCACTTGTTTTAAAAGCCATCGAAGAATTGCGTACGTGGGGTTTATAAGGTCTTTGTATAAACAGAAGCAACATTTGGCTATTTCCAATTAGCATAGTGGCTATTAATATAGTAATACAATGTTAAATACAGCTATTATTAATATATTCTCTCTTAGCATGCTTATGGGTAATGTGGAGACCAGCATGAATTTCATTGTTTTTAATTTCATCATTAGGACATTTTGTCCTATAGTGACACGTTATTATTTTTAACTTGGACCTCCCATTGTTCTTTTTAATGTTTGCTAATCCCTCCCTGCCACTTAGATGGTTGATGAATGGATTTGCCAGAGACATATGGGACTCTGCTGGAAGACAGGCCTCAAGAAACCAGAAATTGTAAAGTATTGGCAGGGGAATTGCTAATTTTACTCTGAATTGGTCAAAGTGGAAGAAAGCTGTGTTTTTATAAGGTTTCCAATTCAGCTATTTTTCCCAACAATATGTAATTAGTTTGTGGATTGTGTGTGGTTCTCCGTTTACAGAATAGGTCCCCTCAGTGTTTGTATTGTTGGATGATATATAGATGAAGAAAGTCCATCTCCTCATGAAATGGACAGGAGCACTCACTATTTATTTAAGGGGAATTGTAGAGAATTGACTGGGAAGATGTACACTTAGGACCAAAAGAGCTGCAATGAAAAATAATCATCTACAATTTCCAGTTTCAATAATCCAGAAATATCTTAAAAGAAAACTCCAGTCACCATAACAATTTCATAGCACTGAAGTTGTTATGGTGCCAGGAGGTCCCGAAAGCGTACTTACCTTTAGGGATTAAACCATTCACGAACGGATTAAGCCCAAAGTCAACTCTTGAATCCAGAACCGTTAACCTCTGCCACGCCCTTCTGCTTGCTCTCTGATTCTTTAAACATGAAGCCTTGGACAGGGACGTCGCTGACTTGCTGAGAGCATCAGCTGACACTCAAAGCTAATTAGTAGCTCACGATTCATAGAAAAGGCTTTGTGAAAAATACGTATGTTTCTCAAGCAGTTTTGTGAATAGAGAGCTACTAATTAGCAGGGGCAGAGCTAAGTAGTGCTGAATTCAAGTTTTTAGGGTTAAACCATTTGTGAACAGTTTATAGCCCAGGACCTCCTGGCACCATAACAACTTAATTTCAGTGAAGTTGTTATGGTGCTCTGTAAATTCTGCTCAATTATGCTTGTGAGCTTTGTGACATCCTCGCATAATATTTGGTTTTAGAAGCCACGTACACACATGAGTAAATCTTAAATACTATTAAGGAAATTTTTAAAAGGTAATGTTTCACCGACTCTTTGTTTTATAAACCTTTTAATAAGCACAAAATATCTCCTTTTCTGTATGAACCTAATCTTACTTGCATCACCTTGGTGCTTCTTACAATTTGATGTTATTTATGTTAGAAAGTATACTCATTAAAACTTGAGTTGTTTTCTTCTGTATTTTGATATAAAATCTGATGACAACAGATGTTTCATGATGACTTGAGTCACCTGTTTGGCCGTGGCCCAAATTTTGCATAGATACACACAGGAAGAATAAAAATTAACCTGGATGGGCCAAGCTTAATCATCATCTAGGATACTGTAGCTGGAAAGAGAATTCTCAGGTTACAGAATGAATAAGGCCAAGTAGAAGACTGGTGTGAACAATAAATTAAACGAAGTGCAGCCTGTTACCAGGAGAGTGAATGCTTTGCAACAAAAGCTCTAGCAAGACATGTAACCTGTGCAAAAGCAGAGTAGATTAACCTCTACATATGGAAAGTGTGACCACATTTGGGAACTTCTAACATTTCTTTTTGCCTGGAGATCTCCAAGGGGACAGAAATGGGAACCCTGTTCAGAAGTGACCAGGTCAGCAGATACAAAAAGTCTTAATTCTAGCACTGTTTTTTTTATTTTTTTTTATTTGTTTGCTGTGTTGACTGAACTACATGACACTATCATTACCCAGGGAATACGTGCAAACCCCTGCTCAACCCAGAAATCCATGTTAGTTACCAGCATGATAACACTGGGGAGAATATTAAAATAAAGAGAGAACAGATAAAAACTAATGCTAAAATTGTTCTACAGGCATATTTTTCTACCTCCAAAATGGATGCTCTAAAAGCTTTCACGCATTCTGAAATGTACCTAAAAAAGGCAGAAAATTAAAGTGATTTTACCACTTCAAGTGGGGAGTAGTAGGTCTTCAAGTTCAGTCTCGTCTCTTCAGGCATGCAAGAAAATAAAAAATTCAGAACCTATAAATAAACAAAACACATTGTTTTTACTTTTTTCACAAGGCAGAAATAAATTATTAGTTAGGTTTAGAGTGAATGTATGCAGAGCAGAACCTATTACTGGGCAAGCACCTAATGCAATGATGGCTAACGTTTAGCACTTTAGGTTGTTGTCAAATATCCCACAATGCTCAGCTGGCAAGTGGTAAATGGATTGGAAGCTACAGCAGACAAACATTGATATACAGTATGTAAATTGCTTATTTTTGTGAGTAGACTCCTAAGTAACTTGTGTTAAATCACAGACCGGATCAATTGATACTGCATTGAAGTGTGAGTTTCAACATAGGAAAAGTTTCACCCCTAGAGGCATATTATAAATAAACCTGACCATGGAGGTGTGAAATTAGATTATTTAATTTAGATAGATTTTGAAGTGTTAAATTTCACAGTGAATGTTTGACGCATGTTACAACATATTTAACCGTGAACTTCAAATGTGAAACTTTGCATGTCTGTGAACGCTGCTCATACATTAACTCCTACAACTGCGAGTTACACAAGAAATAAAGAGAGAGACAAATATTAGTCCAACTGCCGACATAATTTACAAGCATATGCAGTAATTTGTTTTTCTCCCGCATCTTTTGTTTTTAATAATTCTACTACAATAGTTTAGACATTATGGGGTGTTTTCACCAAACACTGCATTGTTGTGAATTAAAAAGTGGACTGCAAAATTGAAGCCAAAATAGCCAAGCTGTGAGAATTGAGCAGTGAGACTGCAGGGGTATGATCTATACACCAAAACTTCTTCATTAAGCTGAAGTTGTTTTGGTGACTATAGTGTCCCTTTTTAGGTCCATTTTGTTTTATGTTTAATCGGTTTTGTGAGTGTATCTTTGAATCTCACGCACATTTATTTTGGATAAATTTGAGCTTTTCTTCTAGAATCAAAATATACTTTCAAAAAAAAAAAAAAATTCACATAAACCCAAATTGGGCACTGTATGATTCAAACTTTTACATTAAACACTTGAGGCAAAAATCTACATTGTTAAAATTTCATTACTCGGCAGGAATGGTGCATTTAAGATTAAAAGGAATGTTGTTATATTTTAATAGAGTTGGTGAAACAGTAACTTTTTTTTTTTTTCTGGAATAGATAAGTACAAACAATGTAATGGTTATTAAAGAGGAATAGTCACTACATTAAAAGAGGGTTTATTCTACAGAATTTCCATCACATTGTGAGAAAGACGAATGCAATTTGAATACTTTCAGTCTGCTTTGCACAGTTAGTTATGGTGTATGCTTAATTATATGCAGTAGTAAATGTGCTTTTTGTTTTTTATATATTGTCTTCCACATGTTTTGTGTGTCTTGTGCCTTTTCCTTACAATAGAATAGCAAAAGTGAAGGTCACGTCCCTTTTATGTCGCAAAATAAATTAAATATTTCCCTTACCATACATTAAGCAAGCAAGGCCGTCAGAGCTGTTGCCATTATAAAGGGGAAATATCACTACTTACAAATACATCATCCGAAGGTCCAAACCAAGAAAAACTCCACAAACTTAAAAAAAAAAAAAATGTAGCTTTGAGTGATTCAGAGCAGTGTGTCACAACCTTTTAAATTTTGTAGATGTTACGGCTATATTTTTGTCAAATATGTAAGATTAACGACGTGCACTGCATGGGAATCTTCATGAAATGGGATAGAAGAAGTCATGGAGATAGCAACTTTCAGTATTTTTTTCTCGATAAATTAAACTTTACAAATTGACTACACTTAGCACTCTTTACTAAGCAGAGTACTGCAAATATTTGTTCAAAATTGTGTAAATGCTTGGCATACATAGAGGTAAGAAAAACAAGTAGCAAGAGAGGTGAGAACGGACAACAGCTCAATTAGCCTGCCCTTCGGTGGGTCCCCGCTCAGATCTCAAGCTCATCTAGTGCCATTACAGAGAACATATCTGAAGCATATCGGACTGGTCCCACCCGTACAAGCAGTCCAGTTCCGAAATGCCAGCAAGTTCCCTCTGCACGAAAGATACGGCAACCCCAGACGATAGTTTCAACCTTGTAAGGTATCATCAGTGAGCCAATATCTCTCTAAGCACCGTGAACAAGGGGTCCACGTCTGGATTGCCCTTTAAACTTAAGGAGAGAAAAGTACAACTCGCCTCTCTTGCTACTTGTCTTCGATCGTCTGGGGTTGCCGTATCTCTCGTGCAGAGGGATCTTGCTGGCATTTTGAATCTGGACTGCCTGTAAGGGTGGGACCAGTCTGATATGCTTCAGATATGTTCTCTCTGTAATGGCACAAGATGAGCTAAAACCAGCTTGAGATCTGAGCGGGGACCCACCGAAGGGCAGGCTAATTGAACGGTTGCCTGTTCTCACCTCTCTTGCTACTTGTTTTTCACATACAGAGATTAGTTTGCTTATACACAGGGATTTTATGTGTCTGTGTTGTGTATCCGTTCTGATATTGAAATTTTCCAAAATTCCATATTTAGTGAAAAAGCAACTATTTATACTTGTACGTGTGTATGTTTGACAAGGTGGTCCAGGAACAAAGTTTGTCTGGGGGCACTGATGGCTGACAGTCCGTTTCTGTTTATATCTACATTGAATACATCAATATACACATATCATGTATAATGTATTAAATGCATGTGATGGGGATTTATGTTAACGTGAAACAGTCATGACAATGAATAAACCCCTTCCTAGACAATAGCTACAGTGGCAGAGGTTGGTAAAGGCTGTGGTATCCAAGGTTTGGGTGAAATGGATTCCGGGAGCCTTGTGGAGTATTTTATTATTCGCTGGAGAGACTGATGAACATCTCTGTACTAGGGTGCGAGAAACAACTAAAAATCTGCTGATGGCAAAAATACAATTACGTTGTAACTCTCCCCATTTTAGCAGAGGTTGTGCTTGCCAAAACAAAAAAAATATATATTTGCTGACAATTTGGCTCACACATCACACAAAGAAAGAAATCCAAGTCCTTTAATGACAATGCATTTGTTTAAAAACAAAATATAAGGAATTTCACTAGAAATGTAAAGAGGGTGACTATTGTCCAAGTCTCCCAAAAGGGTGCAAATAATGTGCTTTGTTTACATATATCGGAAGATTAGTTTCCTATCTTGGCAGTGGTCTATGTTTGAGTGTAACATGATTCTCTTTGATCTCCTTTTCTCGGTCTGTTCCTTTTATTCATTCTGTTTCAACTTGTATTTCAGTCCTACTGCTACAGATATCGATGTGCTGCTCGTAGCCAAAATACACCTGACAGCTCATCCTCCAATCTGGGATTCCGGTGTGCAGCAAGTGTCTAGTGACCTGGGGGGATGCCGTGATGGGGAACAGGAAAGAATGGTTTGAATGTTCACACGTCCTCAAAGACTGCTGTAAAAGCTTTAAAGTTGGTACTCTTACATAATGGGAGAGCACGCGGTTGCACCAGCAATCAGATCTGCATCCATCACAACTTCCTTTATAGAAACACCGTGGAGAAAAGCCAAAATATTTTGTGGTTTTTATTTTTAACCAATCTCAAAATGTGTGCTGTATAGTAATTGCATTCAGAGCGGTTAGATTGAAGAAATCTTTTGTGGGCGTGTTATCATTGTTTCTGCCTTTTAACCCCTTAAGGACACATGACATGTGTGACATGTCATGATTCCCTTTTATTACAGAAGTTTGGTCCTTAAGGGGTTAATCTATATTAAGAAGCAGCTTTCTGCAAGATGTTTTGAATGGTGCTGCCAACTGTGGGCCCAACATGGGCTTCCTCCCCTTCTATAAAGTTCATATATAGAAAAAGAATCTCCAGTATTTGCCACGGATAAATTATTTTTTAAGATTATTTTTTGTAAGTCGATAATAATTGGTTTTGTAATTAAAATTGATCTCTAATTCATACAAACGTTTCATTGTGTCTCTCCCCACTCTTCTATTTTTCTTAAGCATAAGATGGATGACATATTGAGAACTGTTTATCAAGGAAGGTGACTTCTTTGAAATCCTGGATTGTGCTGTTTACCCAACGTGTCCAAAGAAAATCAAAAGCAGGTGCCCTGAAATAAAGCAAGGGAGGGGAGATATACTCTTCACCTGGCAAGTAACGCTCATTATGCCAGCGCACTGATGACATGCATTTTTATTTATTTTTTGCACAGAACTGATATTAGTCACAGGCTGCCTAACACACGTGTGGTGGGGGTGCAACTAGCCCCAAGCACAAAAGTGAGTTTTTTATATTTTTTTGGACAGAAGAATATATGAAAACTGGAAACTTTCAGATGACAGCCATTTTTAGGGACTAGGGCCTTGATTTTAATTCTCTTGACCAAAAACAGTCTAAGTATTCACTTTTTTTGAAACTATCTTTTCCACTGTAGCTGAATTTAATGGCAGTCGAAATTCAAGGAGTCAATGCAGATAAATGTGTTGGCAGCTCAAGAAACATGCTGGTAAACTAACCTGATGGTCATTAAAAAATTAATTTAAATAAAAGCTTATGAGGGTCACTATAACCCCCACATTAGTACAAGGGAGGTTTTAACCCCGTCTCATGCCCCACTAACCATGCATGTCAACTAAACAATGATCAAGCAGTGCCTGCTCACTGTCATAAACTAGCAACTTATTAGAAGATATCCGATCATTGAAACTGGTAATGCATAGCCATTATCAAGCTGCCATCAGATTTCCTGCAGCAATTAATAACTTGAAAATGAACTTGATATTCTCACTTTATTTTTTTTTTATATATATATATATATATATATATATATATATATATATATATATATATTTGTTTCCTAATCCCCCCATCATCACCCATGTCCTCCCTCTCACTTGTAGTTTCTCCAAAAATACTGTTGCCCATGATATCAACTGCAATTTAGATATTTGCCGTCTACAGTAGAAAGCTGACAATTGATCTGCAATTCAAAAAAACCTTGTTGAGCTGATAAAGCACTGTGAATGGGATAAGGGCGGCGACACTACAGAAAGTCAAGTAATCCTCACAATTTACTTCCTGGTTTGGTGAGAAGACACTGATGAAGCGCTAAAGCTTGTTGGTTTGCAAAAAATACAGGGCATTCATATGTGCATTTCTTTAAAATTCTTTATTACATAATTTTCGTAAGTTATCTGCATGATGCAGATACTTATCTAGCAGACCCACCCACTTTTAAAAACTCTAGGGAAACTCCACATCTATCACTGTGTACATACTGCAACCATTCTTGATTTAACCCCTTAAGGACACGACACGTGTGACATGTCATGATTCCCTTTTATTCCAGAAGTTTGGTCCTTAAGGGGTTAAAGGAACAATATAGGGTCAGGAACACAAACATGTATCCCTGACCCTATAGTGCAAACCCCACCATTTAGGTGGCTTGTCCACCCTCAGCCTCCTTAAAAGTTAATAAAACTCACCTTATTTCCAGTGCTGCGGGGGTCTGCTGGCCCCGCCCCATTGGTGACATCAGAATTGCCGATTTTTAAGATACTCGCATAGTCCCAAATTCTTCTCTGAATATTATAATTTACTTTACACCACTAAAATGCTCTATCATGATCACATTACAAAGTAAAGATGAGAAAACATGACATTAAAGGGACACTACAGTCACGAAGAACTACAGCTTAATGTAGTTGTTCTGGTGAGTATAATCATTGCCTTCAGGCATTTACATTGCCCCTAGGGACATCTCCAAGTGGCCACTCCTCAGATGGCCACTGGAGGCGCTTCCTGGCTCATTGCTGCACAGTAGGCAGCAGTGCCGTACAGCGTCTCCACGCTCTTCATGGGGATGCATTGATTCAATGCATCTGAGGAGGTGCTGATTGGCCAAAATGGCATTTGGCCCAACCCCCTTCCAGGTTTTTGCCAATCCACTTTGCCAATCTCCATGGGAAAGCATTAGATTGGTTAAAAATAGGCAATTCTGATGATGTCACCAAGAGGGCGGTTTTATTAACTTTTAAGGGGGCTAACGGTGGACAAGCCACCTAAATGGTGGGTTTTGAACTATAGGGTCAGGAATACCTTTGTGTTCCTGACCCTATAGTGTTCCTTTATATTAAGAATGGTTGCAGTCTGTACACAGTTATAGATAGATTTGGAATTTCACTTTTTAAAAGTGGGTGGGTCTACTAGAATAACTGGGCGGTGGATGAAGAAAAAAAAAGAAGGTAAGCCCCCATTATAAATCACTGTAGAGCCTTTTTTTTTTTTTTTTGCACACAAGAAAACAAAGTTTTGTTGATTAAAACATAATACAAATAAAACCACTCTTGTCAAGTTCCAAAAACTAACATGAGATTCTTCTATAAAACATAAAATTTATTTTTTTTAAATTAATCCTCAAGCCATTGCCCGCTCAGTCTAACCTTATTCACTTGCACAGTGGCAAAAGAGAGTGCAAAGGATACATACCAGTGTCAATTGACACTATCAGTAGTGTCCACTCCAAGTTTTCCTCATTGAAGCCTTGGACATTAAGCGGAAGTGCAGGGACAGAGCAATCAGCCACCAGCTTGAAGACTTTTGGGGTAAACAAGTGAACAGAGCTTATAAGAATTATTGACAGGGAACTAAGATGGCAGAAGCCATTTGGAAGATAAAGAAGTGTGTTAATCATTTCAGTACACACCAGACCTAGTTGCTGGACCTGGCGCTAGAGCCGTGTGATAAACACATTAATTTTCTAAGTGACAGTTCCCATTTAAGCTATCCCAGTTCCTGAACTAGAAAAGGATAAAAGCGGTGGTAGTCATGTGAGACTAGAAATAATATTTTATGTTAAAGTGTTTCTTATTCGCACAACCACTCATCAAATGGCAGGTAACCAGAGCAGGATGGTGTTCCGCATAAACACCTTTTGTGTGAGTGTAATGTCCTCTGTTCCAATTCTCGATTTGCAGACATTTCACCAGCGTTGAAGGCTTTTCCAGAGTAATCGTAACATAACTCCTCTCCAGCCAAGATATCACGAGCAGCAAAGAGTGAAAGCCTGGGAACCATAGAGTGGGTACGGACTGGCAGCATGAAGAGATTGGGTTGACATGAGTGGTTCAAAAACCTACCCACGTTACCTTTCTGGGTAGGGTCCACAATTGTCTGTAGAATCTTTCCACCATGAAGATGCTCACGTACAGCAATGATATAATTGTTTGTACTAGACTCCTGAGAATGAATCCTTCTACAGGCCTCATCGTAGCCTAGCACCTCTCCAACATACTCACACACAAACCTACCACTGGGGATGTCCTCCTTTGTAAAGAGTCCCCAGCCCTTACCAGGTATCCTACACACCTGCAACTGAAACTGCAGTCCCTTCTGGGTCTCCTGGTTTGTACAGGATTCCCCACATTTACACATAACGTTGCATTCTAAAATGGGCCTCTGGCTGCTCAAAATAGCACGGCTGTCATAATTGGCACCAAATGGCAAACAAGCGCAGGTCTGTGGAGCACAGGTAGTCTCTTTGCAATCACAGCCTAGAATAGTAACTTCACTTGGATCTTCTTTAGCGCCAGGTCCAGCAACCAGGTCTGGTGTGTACTGAAATGATAAAGATACGTTTTTTAAATGTTGAAAACATTAAGAACCAATATGTTTGTTATTTAATAGAAAATTATTCTGGATTAGTGTGTTTTTTTTTTTTTAATTATTATAGGAGTACACTAAGCAACATACAAAAACAACTTACAAAATCCACAATCCACATTACATTGACGCTGTGGCAGGCTTATGCAATGTATGATCATATACTGTAACTAAACCCCCATAATTATTTTTCCTAGGTGAGGGTTTTTTTTTGTTTTTGTTTTTTAAATAAAACTATTCCAATCTGTGCGACTTGAAATCTTTGTTTAGTGAATGAGCGAGTGCGCAGGATTGTGTATTTTTTATATATACATACATATATATACACACACACACACCCCCATCACTATTTAGTAGATATATCCCAAATTAAAACTTGCTTGCATTTAATTATGCATTTTTTTTTCATGGAGGTATATCTAAAAACAGCTTGCAAGAGCGGCAGTTCTCTTGTCTGCAGTCTTTGCAAGCCCTCCTCTTCTAACCTCACCCAGATTTTCTGTGGCTGTCCAATCACAGACTTCCCAATGCAGCTCAGTGAGAAGTCTTTGCATGGCAGGTGCTCTAAGCAATTGCCGTCTCTTGAGTTCAGCTCCACAGAGCTAACCAAACCAGGAAGTAACAGGACCTGTCTTATTGACAACTACGGGACGTTAGAAGGTTAATATGTAAAAGTTCTAATTTCTATTAAAATCTACACTTTTTAAAAGAAAAAAAAAAAAACAATATTAACTCATGCACTACAGCAAGCTAAAGTGCTTAGGGTTGGTGTAGTGTTGCTTTAAGTACTCCAGTGTAACTCATATCTAAAATGAGAGCAATACGTGCAGTTTGGTGCCAAGGTATTTCTTGGAGTTCACATATTGCGCAATCACGAGCTACATGAGAGCTGCAACACGTTCTGTGCTACACGAAACAATGGTGATTATAATGTTCTGCCTGAAGGAGCAAGGATCTGCATTCCATCCCAAAAACATCACCATATCTGGGAAGTGGAGACATTCAGGCAAACGCATTGCATAGATCCCCCTCCAGGATTGCCGCCTAAACTAGCAGCTGGTAGACGTCTTCCTAATCCGATCACATAAATGCAGTCAGGCACCTAAATAACAATTAAAAATAGGATCCATTGCCTGCAAAATAAATATTTTGCTTTGGATAGACATACAGGGCATTCCAAATTATCTAGGTTTTGTGCGGAGAGAGACATGGATTTAGAGTCTGAGATTTCCTTTTATTTCAAATAAACCCATTGCGGCAAACAAGTATTTTGTATATACGGAATACACGTTCGTATTGCTGTAGTGGTCCTTTAAAATTTCAGGCCAGAAACGTATATAATCAATTTTGATCTGCTTTTCTTCAGTATAGTGGTAAAGATTACAAACATGGAGGACAAAAGCAGGTGTGCAGATTCACAACCCCAAATGAAGTAGCGGCATCCCACAACTTCTAGCAAATATTCTCACTCTAAGAATTATGGGATGCAAGACTGTTGGGCTGGGTCCTCTTTACTTAGTGTGTAGCAGCTGTATATTTATTCTTAGGTGTTACACTGCAGGTAAAAAAAAAAAAAAAATGACCCCTAGATTAATACATCTTCACACAAGTGCTGGCAATCTTTTTATGACTAGCTCACTTCCGACTCCTACATTTGCTGAAGTTGTCACCAGCACAGTGGATAGATTAAATATATGCCTGCCCAACCATAAACTTGGCATCCACCCCATTTGAAGGCATGCTGCTTACATGGTGGTTCTTTACAGAAGTAAGAGGCATCAACTTCTTCAGTCTGGTCTTCGTCCCCTGGCAGCCGTAACTCCCAAGGGCCAGGTTAATGTCATATGCAAGAGCGGATGGAAAATGGCGAGATGTGGAGGTGAAAGCCGCTTGAAGCTCTCTTTTGCCACATTTTGTCAAAAATTGTTGCGTCCAGAAGATAAAGTAGTTCCTACTTTGTCTTCTATCATCTAACTGAACTGGAATTTCAGTGGAAATAGAAGGCAGTCCGTATAAGGTTTTTAAAAAGTGGCAGTGTTGGGAGTCAGAATGTATTAATATGCTACGGAGTCCTGATATGAAATTAAATAAAGTGGTTTCTTTGGCACCCCACCCACAATTATTTTCACGCTAGACCATATGAATTCTACATACATACTATAGGCAAAATAATTGCAATAGGTCACTAAGAATGGCAATCCACAAAATGTATGCTATAATTATTATATGAACCTTACAAGAAATGCTCCATAACTCCAAATAATCCAAAACCTGTATGTGCTATTAGTGGATAAAGCAGATATGGTTGTACAGGGCCCTGACTCTGGGCCCCACATTCGCAATGTGTACACAGCAGCTCCTCTCTCCCGCTCTTGCGAGCCCCCATGGCAATGCCATGGGTCTCATATTAAGAGCTCCGGAGAGTTGGACCACAGGTAAGAGGCAGGGAGGGGGAAATAAATAATTAAAAAATATATATAATAAAAATCAAAACTTAAAGGACCACTATAGTGCCAGGAAAACATACTCGTTTTCCTGGCACTATAGTGCCCTGAGGGTGCCCGGCTCTGGAAAGGGGAAAGGGGTAAAAACTTACCTTTTTCCAGCGCTGGGCGGAGAGCTCTCCTCCTCCTCTCCGCCTCCGTTACGCCCCCCCGGATGAAGCCGCGCGGCAAGAGCTAGCAGCGCATTCAGCGGTCTCATAGGAAAGCATTTACAATGCTTTCCTATGGAGCCGCGGCTCTCACTGTGAAAATCACAGTGAGAAACGCAAGCGCTCTAGTGGCTGTCAATGAGACAGCCACTAGAGGATTTGGGGAAGGCTTAACCCATTCATAATTATAGCAGTTTCTCTGAAACTGCTATAATTATGAAAAAATGGGTTAACCCTAGAAGGACCTGGCACCCAGACCACTTCATTAAGCTGAAGTGGTCTGGGTGCCTAGAGTGGTCCTTTAAGACAGCACATACCTTACCACCCCCCCCTGTATACATACACACACACACACAAACACTCTCTCTTTACCCTTGTGGGTGGGCTAAGGAGGCCTTAAACCCTATAATGGGCCCCAGAATTTCTGATGGCATCCCTGTGTGCCATCATACCTGAAAAATGATCTTGTGTGCTATGAGGCTTGTATCACACAAAATATTACTACATGCACCAGCTTGCTTTCCTGAGCACAAAATTGTTTATATTGAAAGGCCTTACATAAAAAGTGCTGCCCTGCACAATATACTATTCACTAGTTGCAAGAGGGAAATAATCAATGTGGCTCAATTGGGATCCCTTCTAATTTAACTGATTGCCCTCCCTGGGTCATGTGAATGCTCCATTCAGCATGGGCAGCACACTTCATGCAATGCTCAGCATCACAAACACAGGAAGTGTGTGCAAATGAAACCAGACCAATACTGAGCTTGTACATGCCATGTGACTACAACTCCCGGAATGCATTGCGCGCAAATACTAAACATCCGCCTACAAGTCCTACAATGCTACGTGTGTCCTCTAGCTAAGTGGACTAAGCTTCTTACTACTACGGGGAACTCAGGTCTGACCTGAAACGCTGTCAGCTCTTCCCACGGACCACAAACCGGTACCGGGTGCGTCTCCAGACCATGGGTCACATCCACCGCCGCCATGACAGGCAGAGCCGCCACCGCTTCTGATTGGCTATTGAGCAAATCAATCAATGAAAAGGGGGCGGTGCCGCCTCAGAACATGGTGTCTGCTGCCCTCTAGTGACCAATGTGATGAATAAATTACTATGCTTTTCTATATAAAAATGTAGTTTTAATAGGAAGTATGACTATTTATTTAGATGGGTAAATATTTGGATTAGAAAATGTCTTTCAGGGTTGCTCACTAGTGTCAATTGTCAGGAATTCAAAGTGAATTTCAAAGATGAGGCCAAAATAGCTGAATTACAAATACCACTGACTAAGAGATCGTTTTCAAATTCTGCAATTATGGCCTACGGTTTTTTACTGCTCTTTGAATTCACTTTCAGTTCCTGACAGTTCACACATTAGTTAAAGACCTGGACAGCGTTATGCTTCAAAATAACATGGTGCCATAGAGCACCATTTACAATAGTACTGCTTTTAAAGGGACACTATAGTCACCTGAACAACTTTAGCTTAATGAAGCAGTTTTGGTGTATAGAACATGCCCCTGCAGCCTCACTGCTCAATCCTCTGCCATTTAGGAGTTAAATCCCTTTGTTTATGAACCCTAGTCACACCTCCCTGCATGTGACTTGCACAGCCTTCCATAAACACTTCCTGTAAAGAGAGCCCTATTTAGGCTTTCTTTATTGCAAGTTCTGTTTAATTAAGATTTTCTTATCCCCTGCTATGTTAATAGCTTGCTAGACCCCGCAAGAGCCTCCTGTATGTGATTAAAGTTCAATTTAGAGATTGAGATACAATTATTTAAGGTAAAGTACATCTGTTTGAAAGTGAAACCAGTTTTTTTTTTTCATGCAGGCTCTGTCAGTCATAGCCAGGGGAGGTGTGGTTAGGGCTGCATAAACAGAAACAAAGTGATTTAACTCCTAAATGACAGTGAATTGAGCAGTGAAATTGCAGGGGAATGATCTATACACTAAAACTGCTTTATTTAGCTAAAATAATTTAGGTGACTATAGTGTTCCTTTAAGGAAGGGCACAATTAGCGTTAGGGTAGAAGCTGCCTCCTTATCTCAGAGTTCATGTTTAATGTTTGGTGGCACAGATATTCTCCTTGGTCTGATTGCGAATTATAAGAAACACTGTCCATTACATCTAAAGTACCAAAGATACAAATCTTTATCTTATCCATTAAATGAATAAGAAGTTGATGGCCCCAAATGTGCCGTAGGCCAAATGTACAGAAAAGGAGCTTATCTCTTCCCAAGGACCACCACCTGGGCTATCTACATCACAAGATCTATGGGTATAGTTGCCATATGTCTCATTTTTCCCAGAACCAGCCCCACAATCAGGCCTCTTTGTTAGCTGTTTCTCTTTCTCCCGGAACTGTTAGACAGCCACACCCTGCCCGATTTAGGCAGCACAGGACTCAAAAAGAAAAAAAAAAATCTGCTTTTCGGGCAATAGGTAACTGTCTCTTAAAAGTGTAGAGCAAGCTCATCATTAGATAAGCACGTGCCACAGTGAGGTCTCAGGGAGATTGCACTGAAACAATGCTTACTGCATGGTCTTCCCTCGGTGGGCCAGTCTGAGTGATTGGCATTAACTCCTGGTTGACCTGGCAGGATTTAGGCAGACCCGCACCTATTCCTGCCCCCCTTTTGCAGCACCAATAACACATTTTGTGTCACTTGCCTGCCTTTTTTTACCCTTCCACCTCGGCATGCCGATTCACTGGCACCAGGGCCAATAGAAAAAAAGGAGCTCAGCACCGCCCACCCTACACAGCAGGTAAAGCAGCGAGGGACCTGTGGGAAATGGCACTTTAACCACTTAAGGACACATGACGGAAATATTCCGTCATGATTCCCTTTTATTCCAGAAGTTGTGTCCTTAAGGGGTTAATGATATTGGTTCCTGGAACTTTTCAGTGGTTTCTGGAGGTTCAAGGTTGCAGAAGGAGAGACACACTACTGCATACATAATATTTTAAAATAGTGGTGGGGTGAACTAGCACTATAGCGGCCTGGGTTTGTGGGGCCTTTTTACTTGGGTACTGATCTATTTTGTTAGAAAGTGGAAGAATGGTCACAACCTCAGTAACAGATTGCAAGAGAAAGAGGACGAGACTGCTCAATTGGCATCTTGTCCCTTTGTGTCAGCTTCTGCCTTTATCACTCTCTGTGCCATTTGTCCCACTTTTTCCAACTTCTGCTACTAACCTTACTAAGAGTAAAGGACAAAGCCAAAAAAAATGTTCACAAGATGGCACTCACCGGGATAAAGGCAGACATAGGTCCATTTCTCTTTCAATGGGATCCAGGAGATAGTTAAACAAAAAAGCTGAAAATGTTCAATTTCCTCTCCATATGTCACCTATGTTGGTGACTGAGTATGTATTTGTGATTATACACCTGTATGTGTCTGATTGTGCACGTGTGACTGATTGCGTTTCAGTATCCGTGTAACGGTGTGCTTGTATGAATGCTCAAGAACACACGCTTGTATGACTGTTCAAGAACACACTCTCGGACAACCACTAGGGAAACCACGACAGGGCAATTAGGAAAGGTAATTTTGAGTTTAAATACATGCTTTACCTTTCTGATTGTCCGAGATCGATCTCTGACCCCAAAACGTGCGCGCATAGTGCCCGTGTGACATCACGCGTACGCCAACGTCGTCAATCATGTGGGTGGACGTGGGGGTATAATTTGCCATGGATCTGCAGCGGCCGGCATCCATTAACATGCCGCAAGTGTTAGTCATGCAGACGCACGGCCCCTGGCTGCAGAGACCGCGAGGTGAGAGAATATGTTACAAAAGATATGAGAAAAAAATTATTTGTAAAAATAAATTTTAAGACATATCAATGAATAAAAACGGATAATTTTATATATGGCTGCAATGTTTATCAGCAGACAGAGGTCAGACACACACTTTAAGCACAACAGACCAGAAACACAAATTCCAATTTTATAATTAAGTCCACTGTCCATTTCTAGTCTAGATGCACGAAGAACCTGTGCCAGCACTGATGCCTTAACCTTATACAAATTAAAGTACGTGCAATTTTTGCGCAGAATAATACGTGCTTTGTTTTTTCCACATTTGCTTTTTTAAGAAAAAAAAAAGAGAGAGAGAGTCAGAGACTGTAGGAGAATAGTAAAAAGAACAAAATACTAAGTTGAGGCATTTTGCTATCAGAGTTGATACGTCTTCTGGTATGGAGGACTGAGATCACAAGCAACTGGCCAAAGTTGTTGGTATTCACAGTAAAGGCTAGCCAAGCACTCCCATACCACCCAGGTGTCCCTATTCAGGCAGGTCAGACTCTATTTTGGGCCCAAATCTGTCTGCCCATATTTTCTATCCTAATGTCCCTCTTTTTTAAGTGTTATATGTGCCTTTAAACTACAATAAACATGTTTAAAATGCAGTCTCTGTAAATAAGATACATTGTTTTTGTTCTAAATTATATTTTAGTTTCAAAAATTGTAATAAGCCCACTCCTGGCCACCCACTCATAACCATAAAGTGTCCCTTTAAAGTTAATTGCAAGGACATTGTATTCAAACTATGATTAGACTCCTGTTGCCCAATATCATGCTGGGTAGGAAGCTTCTCTCATGTTAATACTGTATTGCCTCTCCTACTTGAAATCTTACCAGGTGACATATTCACAGACTCTCTTCCTTTCATCCCTTTCTTTCCCACTCACATCCTTCAAGGCAAGTATTTTCTGCTGAGTGTTCATTTTTTCTCTAGAAAATAGAATTAACTATAAATAACTTTGGAACAGAGAACTCACAAAGGCCTAAATACATCAAAAATTATTTTCTGTTTCCCAGGAACACTTAATGTGAAATGTAAAATATAAACCTATAACCAGATTATGATTATTATTATTGGCTTTATATAGCACCAATTTATTACGCAGTTCTTTACAGTTTTAAAAAGGGGAGCTTTAACCGTAAATGAGACACACAATTACAAATGTTGACAGGAATAAGGTTAATAAGGACTCTGCTACAACAAGCGTAGAAGAATGTTTTCATAGAGTGATAACATACCCTCATAACCTTAATACCATGTTAAGCAGTACACGAGTGGGTGAGGTAAATGGGGACAGGCCTGTCCTATGAGGGTGGAGGGTGGATCTCTGCATGATGCTATTGCCTTTAGCATAACGGGTCTAATGAGGCACCTGCGCTATGCTTTCTGGACTCTGAAATATAGACTGTCCCACCAAAATTGGGACTGTTGGGAGATCTGCAATAACTCTCAGTCATCAATTATGTTAATTTAAGCTTTGCTAATGGCATGGATAAAAACAATAAGTTAGCTAGATCTTCAGGGATTGTACTCACATGGGACACCACAGCAAGTGCCCCCCAGGTACAGATCCAGGGGGAGCATCACTGCAAGTGCCCCCCACCCCTGAGAAGCCAAGCCATGGCCACAGTGGCCATGGTCCCCTGCCAGCCCCTGATGCCAAGAGGAAGGAGGGACAATTTGCTCTTTACTATGACAACACTCTGATACATTTTCCTGCATCAACCAGGGGTGCCGACAATCTGGACCACCAGGGAACTGTATTCCCCCCTACCAGGAACTAGGTAAGCCTAAGAGAGGGGGAAGAAACTATATTTTGATTTTACTTTTCCCATCAGCCCCATATCTACCCTACATCATCCTCTAATCCCCTAAAGCTCACAATCCTCTACTGCAACACCTAACCCCCCAATACTGCCTTTAACCCCCCCCAATACATGTCCTATATCCCAATACTGCCCCTAGCCCCCCTCTACAGCTCCTAACCCCCAATACTAACTCCACACTACAGCACCTATCCTCCCTCCACATTCCCTAGCCATTTTGTAATAAGGAACCCACCTATAAATTAAATGGAGTTGAGTTAGGGATAACATTAAATTGGGAACAATTATAGATCACAAACTAGGCAACTGTATGCAATGCCATTTTGCTTTTGACGAAGCTAGTAAGGTACTTTTGTGTATAAAAA